TTCGGCGCATGTGACCAATAAAATTTGATTTGATTTGAGATATGCATCTGTTGGTCACAGATACCTTTAAAAAAGGGACCTCACAATGGGCCTCAGGATCTCATCACAGTATTTTTGTGCATTCAAATTGCCATTTATAAAATGCCTGCCCATACCATAACCCCACCGCCACCATGGGGTACTCTGTTCACAACGTTGACATCAGCAAACCGCTCGTCCACACGACGCCATACACGTGGTCTGCGGTTGTGAGGCCGGTTGTATGTACTGCCAAATGTTCTAAAACGACGTTGGAGGCGGCTTATGGTAGAGAAATGAACATTCAATTATCTGGCAATAGCTCTGGTGGACATTCCTGCAGTCAGCATGCCAATTGCACGCTCCCTCAAAACATTAGACATCTATGGCATTGTTTTGTGTGACAGAACTGCACCTTAGAGTGGCTTTTTATTGTCCCCAGCACAAGGTACACCTGTGTAATGATCATGCTGATTAATCAGCTTCTTGATTTGCCACACCTGTCAGGTGGATGGATTATCTTGGCAAAGGAAAAAATGCTCACTAACAAGGATGTAAACAAATTTGTGTACAAAACTTTAGAGAAATAAGCTTTTTGTGCTTATGGAACATTTCTGGGATCTTTTATTTCAGCTCATGAAACATGGGACCAACACTTTACATTTTGCGTTTATATTTTTGTTCAGTGTAGATGCAATATCCTGCAAGGAATGCAATATCCTGCAGGGACACTAGAGGTCCTTTATTGACCAAGAATTGTATTCATACGCTTCAGAAAGCGCTTAATTCTCAGCACACTGTGGAATCTCTGAAATGTCTTCTCTTGTTTGCGTGTAGGCTACCAGAATATGTTAAACCCCTAAATCAAATCCTGTTTTAACACTTGGACGGATGACTTGTTGACTTACGGTTCAGCTCAACATAATGATTTTTATTAATTAAGAAGGACTTCCATTTCTCCCAGGAGTGGCCAAATATATCATGCACCTAAAGTATTCTCACATCAAACCAAATAGGGCAACATGGACACTATTTTCAGCAGCATAAAGACAACCCTCAGGGAAAAATCTTTACGCAATATCAAATTGGTAACACTTTATATGAAAAGGGTATACTGTACATAACACCTTTATGATACCTGTCATACCACTTTTATGAGTGTTGCAGTATCATTCATAACAACCTTCACAACACATTTATTCAACATCATTCATATTTTTTTATTTTTAAGTTCCCTCTAATTAAATTGTGTTCATCCTTTGTACAACAAAAATGTGTATATTTACTGTCACAGTACCCAACCTCTTGACAGGCTGGGAGAAGCACAGGGTAGGCCTTACAGCATAACCCTTGTAGCAGTGTAAGTGTTAAATTCCTTGCTCAAGGCCACAATGGTGGTATGGAATGGCACCAGCCCTGGGTGTAGTATCTTTTACATACATAAGCTAGTTGGGCTTGATTGAGCTTGCTTGGCACAATGGATCAATTGATAAGTCCCAAAAGTGCAAACCCCACCCGCCCATCTGGCAATCCAGGCAGGCTCAAGCAAACGCTCAAAGTATTTGAAAGATTTCAAGTACCATTTGAACCCAGGTCTGGTTGGCAACAGAGCAATTATTTGCCATTGTAATGTGGTAGTATACATCCTTAGCTGAGACCTGAAGACATGCATTAGCTCCACAAACGAATGCCTAGCCCCTAGCTCAGCAGGCTAACACAGTCTTGTGGTACAAAGAAGACCTGAGCTTGAACCCACCTAGTCAGTAACCTAGCCACCATCTATTGTACCACCATCAACCAGGTTTTTTGTTGTTGTACTCTAATGAAAAGGAACTTTTTATTTTGAAGACTGCTTATGAATTATGTTTAATAAATGTGCTATGAATGTTGCATGAATGATACTGCAACATTCATAAAGGTGTCATGACTGGTTTTATAAAGATGTTATGAATACCTTATGGATACCCTTTATATAAAGTGTTACCATCAAATCAACATAATAACACAAACTGTGTACGTTTACTACTTCTTCAATGGATGGTAAACATCAGTATGTTAGGGGGAAAATTAAATATGACACACAGAGAATGTTGATTCAATCATGCATTTTAACCTGGTAGGATGAGAATAGTTGATCCAGTGTAACAGACAGCTGGTATATGGAGTCGATGCATAAGATAAAAGGAGAATTAAGCAAAGTGACCAGGGTGCAACCTAAGAAAATCTGCACCCAGAAAGATACTCTCCTGTAGTAATTTTTTGTTTGCAGTGAGTTGAAAAGAAAAACATAGCTGGAGATAATGATTCAACAAGCTGAAACACAAGGCTGTGTCATCTGATGTCTGTCTTTTGAAGGTTATTGCATTCAATATCCTGCATTTCAGCCATTGTAGTTCCCCCCACAAATGACATTGTGCATATACAGTAGCATGTGCATATTTCCACACGTCATTGGGCATCACATAGATGCAGCTGTAATTTGTACGTAAATTGTATTTTGGCCACCAGTGTCTAATTTAATGCACATGCTGCCTCGTGTTGTTAACCTTTAACAAATCTAGCTGTAATGAGTCTCCTATTTATGAGAGGGGAGATGGGGAAAACATAAACATACTTCTATTAAAATGTCCATGCTATGCCAAATTATTACAATTCACTGCCTACAGTAGCTGTCCCGCAAAGTCAAAATATAAAGACTGTAGCCAACTATAATTACTTAATTAAGTGTAAAATCAATGTTCTGTCTGGATGTTGTTATCATTGAGCAAGTTTGTCAGGGATACTGAGAACTCCAGAGACCTTGGTCATGAAGGACAGGGTTGCATGGCAACAAGGACACCAGTTGCCATGAATGATCTACATATATATATATACTAGATGACTTTCAGGGGGCGCTGTTTTGAAGCCACTGCGCCTCCATCTTGGCACTCCCCCACTATTGTAAAAAGGATTTTGGAAGCTATAGAAATTCATTTATTAATGGTTACATTTGTTTTTGCCACGTTTATTCTATTACAGACACCTTAATGCATACTTTTAAATTATATGCTAAACATACCAATAAAAAAAGAAAATGTATATAAAAACATTTTCCTTAAAGTATAATTTTTTGAAAGTACTAATGTTACTGTCCCCACTACAACACAACAATACTTAAATACATGTAATTTTGTCCTTTAAACATTTAATTGAAATACTGTAGAATTATGGAGGACCGCTCCGGGGAGTGCCAATATGGCCGACCGGTGGCTTCAAAGCCTCTCCATGGCCAAAACATAGCATCAGCAATTCAGGGTTTATATACATAATTGGTTGCCATGCAACCCTGTCCTTAGACAAAATGTATTGACACAATACTGCTCTCACGTTGAACACGACATGTTCCACCACTCACAAAACAGTTAAATCAATCAGTCAATCAATCAATCAATCAATCAAATGTATTTATAAACCCCTTTTTACATCAGCAGATGTCACAAAGTGCTATACAGAAACCCAGCGTAAAACCCCAAACAGCAAGCAATGCAGATGTAGAAGCACGGTGGCTAGGAAAAACTCCCTAGAAAGGCAGAAACCTAGAGAGGAACCAGGCTCTGAGGGGTGGCCAGTCCCCTTCTGGCTGTGCCGGGTGGAGATTATAACAGTACATTAATGCCAGATTTTTCTCCAAGATGTTCAAACGTTCATAAATGACCAACAGGGTCAAATAATAATCACAGTGGTTGTAGAGGTTGCAACATGTCAGTACATCAGGAGCAAATGTCACTTGGCTTTTCATAGCCAGGCATTTAGAGGTTGAAATAGCAGGTGTGGTAATAGCAGGTGTTGGCTTAGTGGAATAACTTTGTTTGTTATACATGCATTTTCTAAAATTATGTGGTCAGTTTTGCTGAGAGCTTGTAAAGGTTATGTGAGCTTGTAAAGGTTATGTGAGCTTGTAAAGGTTATGTGAGCTTGTAAAGGTTATGTGAGCTTGTAAAGGTTATGTGAGCTTGTAAAGGTTATGTGAGCTTGTAAAGGTTAGAGACCTCCCTCAGTGTGAGGACCATTATTTAATTTATCTTGACCTCGTAAGTAAAATAACAATAAGGTAATTTGTTTAGTTGTTTGAGATTCTAGAGTGTGCAAAGCTGTCATCAAGGCAAATGGTGGCTACTTTGAAGAATCTCAAATATAAAATATATTTTGATTTGTTTAACACTTTTTTGGTTACTACACGATTCCACATGTGTTATTTCATAGTTTTGATGTCTTCACTATTATTCTACAATGTAGAAAATAATAAAAATAAAGAAAAACCCTGGAACGAGTAGGCCTGTCCAAACGTTTGACTGGTACTGTATATTTTCTAGCCTTAACAAACATTAAGAGCTAATTCTGACCATTGTACAACCTAATGTGCACATAATGTACTTGTAAATACATTCCTAGAGGATGATATGTGGGCCAGTTTTCTGTGAGATCCTGTAAAAATGTGTGACCTCCTCCAACAAGAGTAGAACTAAAGGAAGTTATAAAACGTTACATTTTAAAACTAAAAGCAGGTTTACAACGCCCACACATCATCATACAGACAATAGATGAGACAGATGTTCAACGTCTTGTAGGTAATAAATTATTGTAGGTTATCCATATAGTCACATAACAGGTGGCTGCTCCAAATGCAATTCAATTATGTTTATAACTAAGTTTTCTGGACAGAGATCGCTTTCTTTTTTTCAATGAAAAACAACAACATATTCTTATGAGGAACAAAAAGCTTTCAACAGAAGTCAAAATGAGCTAATTGTATGTAAACAGTGTAGGAAGCCATTGAGGATGCATACTTGAAGATCCACGATGACTTACAGTTTGACCTTAGGGTTTATGAGATGTGTAAATCTTATAAATGTTAGTTAAACCATTCACAGCCATCTGCAGAGCTGAGGTTAGGTCATCTATGCTAGGCCTTGGCCCTTCTTGTGGGCTGAGTTCTACTCAAGGCTAATGTTATTCACCAGAGGACCCCTTACCACACACAGTCCACAATCGACACGCAACAGGCCAACATGGCAAGGTGTTTGCATCTCGGCTCCTTCCTTTTCACTAAGATGGTCGATACACCCTATATCTCAATGGGAGTCAAAACTTACCTCATTAAAACCTGGACCCCACACAGCCAAGGCAAAGCAATCAGCATCCACTCGGCCATACACTCAGACTCTCAAAATAACAGGTAGGTGATTTGAAATTACTTGTAGGACCATAACATTATCTGCTAAGGTTAGTTTATAGGTCTTTTGAAACCGTATCTTTTAAAATCTTCGTACATTTAAATTATGTGTTCATACTGTTGTTTTTCTGTTCTCACCAAGAGCCATATTATAGTGAGTACCTCTACAATGGGTGATAATATGATAACTGCTGATAATAGTTTATTCAGTTGGATGAAGATGAAAATATTTTAATAGGCTTTGATACAATACATCCAGAAAGACCACTAAATGTTTAAACTTTTCAAACATATTGATTAAGATAATTGATATGTACTCTTTATCTGGAAAGTCATGGTTTATAACAAGCTCTTTTTACAGCTTGTCGGAGGAAAAAGTCACAATACACTTTATTAACCAAGATGGCATCAAAACCACCACTGCTGTCACTGAAGGACAGACCCTGTTAGATGTTGTCGTAAACAAAAACTTGGACATGAGTGGTTTTGGTATGTAAACAGGAAAAATAGACAAGTAGAATATGAATATCTTCAGCAAATATGTATCACTGTATGTTGCCTTTACAGTATAAAAGCCATCTACTATCCAGGTGTCTTTAAGGCTTTTCACGTGTCCCTTTATTGTCTCTTCTGTTGTTCTTCAGGTGCATGTGAGGGGACATTAGCATGCTCCACCTGTCATCTCATTTTTGACAAGACATTTTATGAAAAGATGGAAACAATGGTGGATGAGGAGATGGATATGCTAGATCTAGCTTACGGGCTTACCAAGACGTGAGTTTAATTTTGAAATGATAAAGTGTCCTTCGCTTGTGGAAATGTTAGGATTAACATACACAATCACAGCTCAATCAAAACAGGCACACACAATAAATGTTGATTTACTCCGGTCAAGCCCCCCCCCCCCCCCCCCAAGGGCCTTCAAAACAGAAACAAGTGGTAGGGCCTCACTGCTGAACTGACATAGACGCAACAAATTGCAGTAAATTCGGTAATCAGTAAAACAAATCTGGAGTAGTTTATATAAATGATCTGAAATCATCTATCTGCCTCTAATCTGCTTCTGATTGACAGGTCCCGTCTTGGTTGCCAGGTGACAGTGCAGAAGTGGATGGATGGTATGACTGTCCAAGTGCCCCAAGAGGTGAGGGACGCTGTGGGATCTAAAGGCAGCCAGTGATCCTTCATGCAACCTGCTGCACCTCTCACCTACTGTACCAAGTCTAATCATCATCATAACCATCATCAAACATCTCCAGGAACATATCACTCAGGACCACTCTGACATGTATTTACCCTTTGCCCTACCAATCAATTAGCTTCTGCTGTAGAATCGGTTGTAGCAATTAAATATTACCGGTACATAGCATAATAAATTGCCTGAAGTGGCATGCATTAAGAAGACATTCCTGTAATTATAAATAGCAAGTTATTAGGTGTTACAAACATTGCCTGTAGCTCTATGACATGTCACCTAGCTGGCTTTATAAAAGGAAACCTTTAGAAATATGGAAGCACATTAAAGTGGACCAGCTTTATTCAGCAGAGCTCTGCAAAGTGTCTTCAGAAAGTAGTCACACCCATTGACTTTTTCCAAAAATGTGTTGTGTTACAGCCTGAATTTTAAATTGATTAAATTGAGATTTTTTTGTCACCGGCCTACACCCAATACCCCAGAATGTCAAAGTGGAATTATGTTTTTCGAAATTTGTACTAATTAACAATAAATGTAAAGGTGAAATTTGTTGAGTCAATAAGTATTTAAACTCCTTTGTTATGGCAAGCCTAAATAAGTTCAGGAGTAAAAATTAGCTGAACAAGTCACATAATAAGTAGCATGGACTCACTCTGAATGCAATAATAGTGTTTAACATGATTTTTGAATGACTCATCTCTGTACCCCACACATCTGTAAGGTCCCTCAGTCGAGCAGTGAATTTCAAACACAGATTCAACCACAAAGACCAGGGAGGTGTAGTGTATTAAGATTATGACTTTGTTAATGGTTTTAAGTGGAACCTGAGAAAATGTTTATTTAGTGTCAGAAGGAATTGTTTTAGTGTAACGCCACATAGGACAGAGAAGTCTGTGTGTTGGAGACAGGTGATTGGACAGTAGAGGGAGCCACCCATATTTTTGCATATCTTATAAGTATAGGCTAGAGACAAAGGACGTTAGAACAGACATATTATTTTGGGACACTGTTCTCCAGACACTGCAGGCGTCTGTAAACTTATGCTGAAATCTTGTGATATAAATACAACTTATAATCAAAGTACAGTATAAGCGGACCCTTTGTTTCACAGCAATAATTAGCAGCATTGACTCGACACTACAGAGGTTTTCGAATGCCTCGCAAAGGGCACCTATTGGTAGATGGGTAAATAAAAAAAAAGCAGACATTGATTATCCCTTTGAGCATGGTGAAGTTATTAATTACACTGGTGTATCAATACACCCGGTCGCTAAAAAGATACACGGGTCCTTCCTAACTCAGTTGCCGGAGAGGAAGGAAACTGCTCAGGGATTTCACCATGATGTCATTGGTGACTTTAAAACAATTACAGAGTTTAATGGCTGTGATAGGTGAAAACTGAGGATGGATCAACAACATTCTAGTTACTCCACAAAACTAACCTAATTGACAGAGTGAAAAGAAGGAAGCTTGTTTGCGACAAGTTCTAAAGTAATACTGCAAAAAATGTAAGTAAATGCAATATTTCTGTATTTCATCTTCAATAAATGTGGAACAATTAAAACATGTTTTCACTTTGTCATTATGGTGTATTGTGTGTAGATGGGTGAGAATTATTATTTTTAATCCATTTTGAATTCAGGCTGTAACACAACAAAATGGGGTATGAATACTTTCTGAAGGCACCGTAAACCACAGAAAATTCCCTTAAAGTAAGTAAAACAAATGTGTTTTCAGCCAACTACATTGTGAGCCTACAATTCATTTTGTGAAGTTTGTTGCAATTAATAACCCTCCATGTTTTAAATATGATGTCTAGAAAGCTGGGACTGAGAAGGCATGGGAAAACATATGCAGAGTTTTGAGGGCAAACATGATTTATTATATGTGGTGCAATCAACATAGGCTTATACAGGTTTGTAGCAACTGATATTGTAATAACTGCTAATAATGTAATAGCTGCTTATAGTGTAATACATTTTGCATTTATAATGTAATAAATGCTGAAAATGTAATAAATTGCCAATAACGTAATAATGCTATATAGCTAATAACGTTTTTGTGCATAATGTAATAATTATTACATTATGTGTTGATGAATACATTATGGAGTGGGTAAAAGTTTTTCCATGAATAGTGTAATAACTTTAACCGATAATGTAATAACAACCTAAAAAATAAATACTAAAAAATTAATTCACTCTCTTTTTTATGCATATCAAGTGTCATGCTTCAGTAATAGTTGACTACACACCAAACCACATCCCTGAGTCATTATTTGATATTACTAAGGGAATGTAACCAGTGGGATAATGTTGGAGAGCCCATACTCATGTTTCTCAACAGACATAAACGGGGAGATCGTGGCATTTAAATTCTGACACACTTAGATATTGCAGATAATACAGTCCCAAAATGTTGTTATATCTACCAGAACATATGTAAAATGGAGCTGTGAAAGCAACTTTGTATTAAAATGTTTCTTGTACTGGTTGACCTGAAAAAGAAAAGGTGTAACACTTCCATATGTGAGGCTCATAAGGGGACTGTAAAGGTAAATAAATGAAAGTAGTGGAAAAAACAGATTTTAGCCTTGGACCAATGGGTTATGTGTGAGTGAGTGAATGAGTGAGTGAGTGAGTGAATCAGTCAGTCAGTCAGTCTGAGTGAGTGAATCAGTGAGTCTGTCTGTCTGTCTGTCTGTCTGATATGAGTCTGGTTCCATCTCCACTCTGTAAGGCAAAGTAGCCTGGTCAATCCAGGGATAAGGAGGAGTGAAACTCCTGTTGATTATTTTTCATTAGAATTTGGCTTATCACGACTGCAAGGTTTGTCTTCAAATTGAGGAGTGTTGTTGTTTTTTCTCTCTGTAGACACTGGATGTTTGCAAGGTCAGAATGGAAGTGCAATAGTAACACCCCCCCTTTTGTGGCAATGGATGCAAATACAAAGTGTTCCTCAAGTGTGTGACACTGAATATGCATGCCGTTAAAATAAGAGAGTGATTTTAGGTTGTTATTACAATATTGGTTTAAGTTATTACACTATTGATGTTAATTTTTTTACCCACTTTATAATATAATAATCAATGATTATTATGACATTATGCGCAAAAACATTATGTTATGCATTCTGCATATTTATTTGATTATTAGTAATTTATTACATTATCAGCATTATAAATGCAAAAAGTATTACATTATTAACAGCTATTACATTATTGGCAGTTATTTCATTATCAGTTGCTACAGGGTGAAAAAGGCAATTATTTCCCCCCCTGATTGTTACACAGTGACATGAAGGTTCACGCCACACTGGATTCTTGTTAACAGTTACTGTTCTTAGTGTTCTAGGATAAAACATGCATTAAAACAGACAATGATTACAGTGGTACAGTATACATATGTTATAAATAAAGGTTAAAATCCAGGCATGTCATATGATTGCGCAAAACACAGGGTCCTAGTTATGTGTTTAAGACTGTTATATCAATGCATCTAAAAATATATATATATACAGTGTACATAAGGGGCTCCATTTTGCACATGCAAAATAGCACTGAACTTTGCAAAACCAACATCAACAAAAAATGTAAACTCACAATACTATGCAATGCGATTTATGTTGTAATTTTTCTTTAACGATAAAAGTGAGAATCAGGAAAATGTGCACACCATGCAATCGCTTAACAGTATTTGGAACTCAGTTTGGATAATATTCCATCTCATGTATTTACATTTAACGGTTATTTTGTGTGTTTTTTTGCATGCACAAAACAGAGTCCAGGTTAACTGAACTATATGTGCATAAGCGTTTGCTCGTATACAAATTGTGCATCTTATACCTAATTTGCCTCACATATTGCAGTTTTTACTTTTTCACTGACAGATTATCCCCATGATCTTTTTGAACATGTCACAGTCCCTCCAGTAAACACACACATTACATTGAAGTCAAGATGTCTGGTCCTTATTCATAGCCTCAGTCATTTGCTATACAGAAGCATTAAGCATCCCCATTCAGTTGGAGGAGTTGCTCTATCTGAGTGGTTTGCATAATTACCACTCATTTCCTCTAAGTAACAACTACAGGACATTGCAGAGACTGTTGAAATTGCTCATCAAGCCGACTTCAACTGTCTGTCTGTCCGTATGCCTTTCCGGAAGTTTACATACACCTTAGCCAAATACATTTAAACTCAGTTTTTCACAATTCCTGACATTTAATCCTACTAAAAATTCCCTGTCTTGGGTCAGTTAGGATCACCACTTTATTTTAAGAATGTGAAATGTCAGAATAATAGTAGAGAGAATGATTTATTTCAGCTTTTATTTATTTCATCACATTCCCAGTGGGTCAGAAGTTTACAAACACTCAATTAGTATTTGGTAGCATTGTCTTTAAATTGTTTAACTTGGGTTAAACGTTTCGGGCAGCCTTCCACAAGCTTCCCACAATAAGTTGGGTGAATTTTGACCCATTCCTCCTGACAGAGCTGGTGTAACTGAGTCAGGTTTGTAGGCCTCCTTGTTCGCACAGGTTCTGCCCACAAATGTTCTATAGGATTGAGGTCAGGGCTTTGTGATGGCCACTCCAATACCTTGACTTGGTTGTCCTTAAGCCATTTTGCCACAACTTTGGAAGTATGCTTGGGGTCATTGTCCATTTGGAAGACCCATTTGCAACCACGCTTTAACTTCCTGACTGATGTCTTGAGATGTTGCTTCAATATATCCACATCATTTTCCTTCCTCATGATGCCATCTATTTTGTGAAGTGCACCAGTCCCTCCTGCAGCAAAGCACCCACACAGCATGATGCTGCCACCCCCGTGCTTCACGGTTGGGATGGTGTTCTTTGGCTTGCAAGCATCCTCCTTTTTCCTCCAAACATAACGATGGTCATTATGGCCAAACAGTTTTATTTTTGTTTCATCAGACCAGAGAACATTTCTCAAAAAAGTACGATCTTTGTCCCCATGTGCAGTTGCAAACTGTAGTCTGGCTTTTTTATGGCGGTTTTGGAGCAGTGACTTCTTCCTTGCTGAGCGGCCTTTTAGGTTATGTCGATATAGGACTTGTTTTACTGTGGATATAGTTACTTTTGTACGTGTTTTCTCCAACATCTTCACAAGGTCCGTTGCTGTTGTTCTGGGATTGATTTGCACTTTTCGCACCAAAGTACATTCATCTCTAGTAGACAGAACGCGTCTCCTTCCTGAGCGGTATGATGGCTGCGTGGTCCCATGGTGTTTATACTTGCGTACTATTGTTTGTACAGATGAACGTGGTACCTTCAGGCGTTTGGAAATTGCTCCCAAGGATGAACCAGACTTGTGGAGGTCTACAATTTTTTTACTGAGGTCTTGGCTGATTTATTTTGATTTCCCCATGATGTCAAGCAAAGAGGCAATGAGTTTGAAGGTAGGCCTTGAAATACATCCACAGGTACACCTCCAATTGACTCAAATGATGCCAATTAGCCTATCAGAAGCTTCTAAAGCCATGACATCATTTTCTGGAATTTTCCAAGCTGTTTAAAGGCACAGTCAACTTAGTGTATGTAAACTTCTGACCCACTGGAATTGTGATACAGTGAATTATAAGTGAAATAATCTGTCTGCAAACAATTGTTGGAAAAATTACTTGTGTCATGCACAAAGTAGATGTCCTAACCGACTTGCCAAAAGTATCGTTTGTTAACAAGAAATGTGTGGAGTGGTTGAAAAACTAGTTTTAATGACTCCAACCTAAGTGTATGTAAACTTCCGACTTCAACTGTATTTACACACAAAGAGGGGGGTAAAGTAACCCATGATTATCTACATTCTGATAACCCATTCTATAACACCAAATGATGAGCATTTGTACAATCAGACAACTGATTCCTCACCATGTGATAGCTTTGTGATATTTTCTGTTGGTCCAGCCATTTTAATTTGCTACTGGAGTTTACTTACAACTTTTTTTTTCGATCGCTTTTGCATCCGAGTTGCCATTCTTGCTGTCACTTGAGCTGAAGTATTCTCTCACAGTGTTTCTGACAGTTGCTGGCAGTTTTATTCTTATAGTGTGGCTGATTGTGGTTGCAGTCTTGTGGCTGATTGTGCTTGCAGTTTTGGCATTGGTTTTAGATGATGTCTGGGAGAGAGGGGTGCACCCACCACCCAACTGTTCAGGGACCACCTCGCCATGGTCAATATCTGTTTTGGCCTTTGCTCCTTTCTCCTTGTTGTTGGAAGATTGTCTGATTGACACAGACTGAAGGACCAGTGGACTGTTTTGACCATAGAACACTGTCTGGGGTATGTGGACCTGCACACTTTGGGCCAGCAGTTCCGCATTTTCCTGATGTTCTCTCCCTGTGTCAGACACCAGAGAGACTCCACATTCTTCCACAGGTTGATCAGACTGTTTCTTCACCAGCATTCTATTAGAGGAGGTGTAAAATGTAATTTTTGTCCTCTTCACCTCTTCTTTGTTGACAGCCTGGTTGTTTGTTTTTCTCAGCTGTATGTGTGTAATGGATATTTCTTTGGTCTGCCCTTTTGACTCTGACGTCTCGAACACTTTATCCTTCTGGCTCTGGTGCACCTGCTCCCCACTCCAATCAGAGATAATCTTCGCACTGTCATCTGGTTGAGAGACAGGGCTTTGACTATTCTCACCTTTTAAACTACAGAGGCTTTGCGTACGTAACTGGTGGTCTTCTCTATTCTGAATGCTAATAGAACGGTAATGCTCCTTGTCTTCCTCTCTCTCATCATACTCATTATACCAGTCCAAAACCTCGGGTGCCTGAGCCACTGCTGCTGGGAATGTCATGCTCCAGTCTTTTGGGAATTTCTTCGGGGTGTCTGGGGTGAGAGGGCGTAACCGTGCCGACGAGCCGAACAGGAAGGGTAGGGAGTTGGGCTCATTGAGAGAGGACACAGAGTCAGAGCAGAAGGAGAAGGCGCTGTCTATGGAACTCAGAGAGGAGGCAGACGGGGAGGTGGCTGTGGAGGACAGGCTGGAGAAACTGGACCTGTTGGACATGGCCAGCCTCTGGGCAGGGTGCCAGAACCTAGAGGCTACCTGAGGGGACCTCCAGAAGGCATACCTAGATCTGCTGCCACCTACTCTGGGGCTGTTGTCCCCCTTTAGTAGCCCCTTAGCGTGGGGTTTGTGTGTGTGTTGGGACTGGTCTGCACAGCCACACATCACTGCCGCATCGCAGCTGGACTGGCGGGCAACAGGAGTGTGGAGCTGGCTTTGGGGCCCTGACTGGGGAGAAGCCAGACACACACTGGGTTCTGAGGAGCAGCGGGCTGAGCGAAGACTCTGGGTCCCCATCAGGGAGCAGATAGACCCACTGGAGAGGGAAGACATTAAGTCTAGATTCCCACAGCTATAAGCACTGTCCTCTGTCACATGTTGCTTTTTCAAGGAGTCAACCTCATTCAGAAGGCCCAAAATCTCTTTCTCCTCTTTCAAGACCAGTTTCCCTAGAGGCAGGAACAAAGGTTCCCTATTAGGAGAGTGAAGTCCTCCTTGCTTCTCCCAGTCCCAATCATCAGACAAGTAGAGCTGCTGGTAAGACTCCACTGAAAGAAAAAACATGAAAAGATCAAAGTGAGACCACAGGGTTTCCATGAAAATGCCAAAAAAATTTGAAACCATTTATGTTATCTAACAAAGATCTCACCCATGACATCCTCTACAGTTCCTTGTTCACTATTTGGCTCAGTAAAAATGCACTCAACATCTTTACCAAAAATGGCTGGGGTGTTTTCAATGAGGAGTTGGATGAGAGCTGCAACCTGCATTGGAGACATGAAAAACACATTGAGGCAGAAACCCTTAACAAATAGGAGATACAGGAGATGAACATACACTATCTGCTCATGGATGCTAATTATATTTTCTTTCTAACTACAACACCAGATTCATTACTGTCCAATGAAAAGTACTTTCAATTCAGTGTATTATTCCAACTTACACAGAAACATACAACTTACACAGTGAGCTCCTAATGTATTGGGACAGTGAATATTTGTTGTTGTTTTGGCTCTGTATTCCAGCACTTCAGATTTGAAATGATTCAATGACTATGAGGTTAAAGTGCAGACTGTCCGTTTAGAAATTAGAGCACTTTTTGTAGATAGTCCCCCCATTTTAGGGGACCAAAAGTATTGGGACAAATCCACATATGTGCATTATTAAAGTAGTAAGAAGTTACGTATTTGGTCCCATATTCATAGCACGCAATGACACATCAACTTGTGACTGTACCAACTTGTTGGATGCATTTGCTGTTTGTTTTGGTTGTGTTTCAGATTATTTTGTGCCCAATAGAAAGGAATGGTAAATAATGTATTGTGTCATTTTGGAGTCACTTTTATTGTAAATAAGAATAGAACACTTCTACATTAATGTGGATGCTACCACGATTACGGATAATCCTGAATTAATCGTGAATAATGATGAGTGACAAAAGTTACAGAGGCATAAATATCACCCCCCCCAAACAAAATGCTAACCTCCAATGTTATTGTAATGGTGAGAGGTTAGCGTGTCTGGGGGTATGATATTTGTTGGTCTGTAACTTTCTCACTCATTCATCATTGTTCACGATTCATTCAGATTAATGTAGAAGTGTTGAGAAACATATTATATTCTTATTTACAAAAACAAGTGACTCCAAAATGACACAATACATTATTTACCATTCATTTCTATTGGGCACAAAATAATCTGAAACACAACCAAAACAAACAGCAAATGCATCCAACACGTTTGTACAGTCACAAGATTAATGCTAATGCAGTCATTGCGTACTAGGAATATGGGACCAAATACTTTTTACTGCTTTAATACACATAAATATAAGTGAACTTGTCCCAATACTTTTGGTCCCCTAAAATGGGGAGACTATGTACAAAAAGTGCTGTAATTTCTAAACGGTTCACCCTATATGGATGAAATTTCAAGCTGACAGTCTGCACTTTAACCTCATAGTCCTCAAATCCAAAGTGCTGGAATACAGAGCCAAAACAACAACAAACATTGTCACTGTCCAAATACTTTTGGAGCTCACTGTAGCTTATAACTTACACTTTTGATGTTTTAAGAACTCTTGAGAACTGTTTTTATCTTTGTGATGTTTCACAGCAACACAAACATCAAACAGTAGATCAATGTTCTGATGTTTAATTGGCATAATTGGCATAAGAATCGCATTGGCCAAATTGTGTCGCAGACAACAATGTACCAGCTAGACTTTTTTTGATCCTCTGCAAATTAAACTTAATTCATTTCTTAACCTTGACATCATGTTGCCTTTTAAAATGATTATTTTAGCAGTAAGCTACTGAAGAGATAGAAAATGAAGCCTATTCCAAAAGCTGTACCAAATATGAACCCACTGGACACACACTGGTTGAATCAATGTTGTTTTCATGTCATTTCAATGAAATTACATTGAACCAACATGGAATAAATGTTGAATTGATGTCTGTGCCCAGTTGGAACTGAAAACTTCAGCATATACAGTGGGGAAAAAAGTATTTAGTCAGCCACCAATTGTGCAAGTTCTCCCACTTAAAAAGATGAGAGAGGCCTGTAATTTTCATCATAGGTACACGTCAACTATGACAGACAAATTGAGAATTTTTTTTCCAGAAAATCAAAATTTTTTATGAATTTATTTGCAAATTATGGTGGAAAATAAGTATTTGGTCACCTACAAACAAGCAAGATTTCTGGTTAAGCCAGTACATGTCCAGGCCCGTCTGAAGTTTGCTAGAGTGCATTTGGATGACCCAGAAGAGGATTGGGCGAATGTCATATGGTCAGATGAAACCAAAATATAACTTTTTGGTAAAAACTCAACTCGTCGTGTTTGGAGGACAAAGAATGCTGAGTTGCATCCAAAGAAGACCATACCTTCTGTGAAGCATAGGGGTGGAAACATCATGCTTTGGGGCTGTTTTTCTGCAAAGGGACCAGGACGACTGATCCGTGTAAAGGAAAGAATGAATGGGGCCATGTATCGTGAGATTTTGAGTGAAAACCTCCTTCCATCAGCAAGGGCATTGAAGATGAAACGTGGCTGTGTCTTTCAGCATGACAATGATCCCAAACACACCGCCCGGGCAACGAAGGAGTGGCTTCGTAAGAAGCATTTCAAGGTCCTGGAGTGGCCTAGCCAGTCTCCCGATCTCAACCCCATAGAAAATCTTTGGAGGGAGTTGAAAGTCCGTGTTGCCCAGCGACAGCCCCAAAACATCACTGCTCTAGAGGAGATCTGCATGGAGGAATGGGCCAAAATACCAGCAACAGTGTGTGAAAACCTTGTGAAGACTTACAGAAAACGTTTGACCTGTGTCATTGCCAACAAAGGGTATATAACAAAGTATTGAGAAACTTTTGTTATTGACCAAATACTTATTTTCCACCATAATTTGCAAATAAATTCATTAAAAATCCTACAATGTGATTTTCAGGATTTTTTTTCCTCATTTTGTCTGTCATAGTTGACGTGTACCTATGATGAAAATTACAGGCCTCTCTCATCTTTTTAAGTGGGAGAACTTGCACAATTGGTGGCTGACTAAATATTTTTTTCCCCCACTGTATACACTACCGTTCAAAAGTTTGGGGTCACTTAGAAATGTCATTGTTTTCGAAAAGAAAAGCACTTTTTTTGTCCATTAAAATAACATCAAATTGATCAGAAATACAGTGTAGACATTGTTAATGTTGTAATTGGCTATTGTAGCTGGAAACGGCTGATTTTTTATGGAATATCTACATAGGCGTAAAGAGGCCCTATATCAGCAACCATCAGTCCTGTGTTCCAATGGCACGTTGTGTTTGCTAATCCAAGTTTATCATTTTAAAAGGCTAATTGATCATTAGAAAACCCTTTTGCAATTATGTTAGCACAGCTGAAAACTGTTGTGCTGATTAAAGAAGCAATAAAACTGGCCTTCTTGAGACTAGTTGAGTATCTGGAGCATCAGCAATTGTGGGTTCGATTACAGGCTCAAAATGGCCAGAAACAAATAACTTTCTTCTGAAACTCGTCAGTCTATTCTTGTTCTGAGAAATGAAGGCTATTCTATGCGAGACATTGCCAAGAAACTGAAGATCTCGTACAACGCTGTGTACTACTCCCTTCACAGAACAGCGCAAACGGCTCTAACCAGAATAGAAAGACGAGTGGGAGGCTCCGGTGCACAACTGAGCAAGCGGACAGTGTCTAGTTTGAGAAACAGACGCCTCACAGGTCCTCAACTGGCAGCTTCATTAAATAGTACCCGCAAAACACCAGTCTCAATGTCAACAGTGAAGAGGCGACTCCGGGATGCTGACCTTCTAGGCAGAGTTGCAAAGAAAAAGCCATATCTCAGACTGCCCATCTTAATCTTTTCTTTTTATTGGCCAGTCTGAGATATGGCTTTTTCTTTGCAACTCTGCCTAGAAGGTCAGCATCCCGGAGTCGCCTCTTCACTGTTGACGTTGAGACTTGTGTTTTGCGGCCACATAATTGCAGGCATAATTCTAATGATCAATTAGCCTTTTAAAATGATAAACTTGGATTAGCAAACACAACGTGCCATTGGAACACAGGACTGATGGTTGCTGATAATGGGCCTCTGTACGCCTATGTAGATATTCCATAATAAATCTGCCGTTTCCAGCTACAATAGCCATTTACAACATTAACAATGTCTACACTGTATTTCTGATCAATTTGATGTTATTTTAATGGACTAAATAATTGCTTTTCTTTCGAAAACAAGGACATTTCTAAGTGACCCCAAACCTTTGAACGGTAGTGTACATTGAATTGTATATTCTGCATAATCATTTAATTTTGTATTAATACATAAACTCAGCAATTCACTATGGATGTATTCTTGCATTTGTGTGTTTCATTGAAGCCTTAATAGAATATTATATCTTTGACTATATTTATCAAAAAGAATAATAGATAACATGCTCACTCTCATATTATTTTTCAGAAGTAGTCGGGTGCTGGATTCTCATAGTCCATAGCGACAAAGATGGTCAGCGCATATTAAATAATCTTCAATAATTCATTTATTTCTCTGTGTAAGAAATACAGAGAAATAAATTAATACATTAATTATTGAAGATTATTTATGGTACTTATAAAATATCCATAGGGTACTATTGTTGTTGGGCAGGAGATCCCTAAGTATATCTACCTTTTTAGTGGACTGACTCTCCTCCTCTGGCCCAGTGGGCACAGGCAGCCACAGCATGTTAGGAGCGATACAGAGGGCCAGGTTTAAAGCGTTCATCTGGTTCTCCTGCGAGTGCTCCTGGATGTGGTAGAGAAGGGCGAACAGGTAGCGGAGCAAGGTAACATTATCCTCTGGAAGCTGGCTCAATAGCCTGAAGGGGACAGAAAATGGAAAACCATTAATACCCCAACGGCTAATTGAGGCTAGTAATGTAGAGAGGAATATGTGAGTGGCTGATGCACATAATGATTCAAACCTTGAAACATGTGACTGGCAAAAAGTGAAATAAAAGGACATATCAAAGAACCCTCTTTAATAGAAGTTAAATGCCCTCAATAGAATTGAAGAGCAGTGGTTTGCAATTAAGCTAAATTCATTCAATCGTTTTGTGCATCTAGAATAACACACAGAACTGTATTGCTTGTTTTTGAATTCCAATAGCCTTCTCAGCACTTCATGTCCTGTTTTAAAGTCATTCAATATCTCTCTTTTTTATCTCAATATTGTTGAAAAACACACATTAGGCACATTAGAGCACATTCAACAACATGAAGAGAGAGATGTATTGATGTGTTCTTCCCCAAGTAAAGTGACTGGATGTACTGCGCAGAAGTGGAATTTACTAAAGATAGAGACAGACTAAAGAATGTTATATGAACAGGACAGAACACATAACCGGATGTTATTCTGTTATACAATTTTCATTATTGTTCTGTTTCTGCTCACACGTATGGCTCAGCATTACCTAAATGTTTCCTATCTATTACCCAAATGTTCCATTTCTATTCATCAACTGAAGAGCCGTTGTGAAGAAGCCTTCAACTCCCATAGAATAGGTAGACACCGGACAATCATTCAAGCGGGAAAATCTCATTAAGACATAATTGTAACCAGAGCCGTTATATCAGAGGTGGCTAACCTTCCTGGAGAGCTAGAGGGTGCAGTCTTTTGTTTCATCCCTGCTCTAACTCAATTGTCTCAGTTTATCAAGGACCATATGACAACTCATTTATTTTAGCCACTAATCTATTGTTGGTAAACAAATGAACAGATGTATGTGTCTCTCACCTTTTTATCAACTCAATCTTGTCCTCAATATCATCAGCCGCCATGACCTCCATCCACTTCTCATACAGACCAGTACTGAGCACACTGCCAGGGATGTTGCGCAGAAAGTCCTGTTCATTCAAATATAGAAGTCCTAGCAATCAAAATCTATACAGTACAGTATGAAAATAGTGACTTTTAAACTTTTTGTCCTCCATTTTAACATGTTACTATCACTGCTGGCCATAATATTTCTGTTTAAAATCCAATGCAGGCTAGTAAGTAATCTAAAACACAAGTGAGACTTCAGAAAGCAATTACAGTGATGACTGATGCAGCAACAAACACAGACTCCCCCTCCAGCTGAACACTGTTGCCCGAGTTCAGTCTCTCCTTCAGCTCCCGGCATGTCTTAGCATTGGCCGAGCGCCGGAAGATCCCTGTAGTGGTAGGGCCCTCATGGTACAGCAGATACAGCATGTCCTGTATGGAGAATAGACAATGGACCAGACATGTAGTAGTTTCCCAGCAGTAGAGATTAATACTTTATAATTGTTCATATTTGAGGGGATTCACAACTCACCATGATGGGTCTGGGTAGGTTTCCATGATGACAGATAGAGGACAATGAAAGACCAAAGAGCTTGTGAGGAGTGGTGGGGGATTCAGGATATCTACCTCCTTGGCTGCCATGTCCTCTTCTCAGAGCCCAGTCTATCAGAGACTTCTTTCTCTTGATGTGTTTCTGAGAGGAATCTGTTTGAAATGATGAACAGCAAAAAATTTTGAAACTCTGCATGACAGATATGTGGTTGTCTAGATAATGACAGACATAGAGCCTGTTTGATCCACATTCAATCAAACCTGCTTTCAGCCAAACCCACACCGCAGAAAAAAAGATTAAAACGTCATTTTGAGTAACGAATCAACGCAATTCCCAGAGGGGAACACACACTTTTAAAAATGGTTCTATATAATGCCAAATAAGGGTTATTTGGTGCTACAGTATATACTGTAGATCCCTTTTTTAAAGATTCTGAAAAGAACCATGCTCATAAGGTTCTAAATGTAACCTTTCCTAAGGTTCTAGAGAGAACCATTACCAAAAGTTTCTATACTGAACAAAAATATAAACGTAACATGTAAAGTGTTGGTCCCATGTTTCACGAGCTGAAATAAAACATCCCAGAAATTGTCCATATGCACAAAAAGCTTATTTCTCTCAAATTTGCAACAAATGTGTTTACATCCCTGTTAGTGAGCATTTATTTGCCAAGATAATCCATCCACCTGACAAGTGTGGCATATCAAGAAGCTGATTAAACAGCATGATCATTACACAGGTGTACCTTGTGCTGGGGTCAATAAAAGGCCACTCTAAAATGTGCAGTTTTGTCACACAACACAATGCCACAGATGTCTAAAATATTGAGGGAGTGTGCAGTTGGCATGCTTACTGCAGGAATCTCCACCAGAGCTGTTGCCAGAGAACTGAATGTTAATTTCTCTACCATAAGCTGCCTCCAATGTCGTGTTAGAGAATTTGGCAGTATGTCCAACCGGCCTCACAACCGCAGACCACGTGTAACCACGCCAGCCCAGTACCTCCACATCCGGCTTCTTCACCTGCGGGATTGTCTGGGACCAGCCACCCGGACAGCTAATGAAACTGTGGGTGTGCACAACCGAAGAATTTCTGTACAAATTGTCAGAAATCCTGGTTTCAACTGTACAGGGCAGATGGCAGAAAGCGTGTATGGAGTCGTGTGGGCAAGCGGTTTGCTGACGTCAACATTGTGAACAGAGTGCCCTATGGTGGCGGTGGGGTTATGGTATGGTCAGGCATAAGCTACAGACAATGAATACAATAGCATTTTATCGATGGCAATTTGAATGCACAGAGATACCGTGATGAGATCCTGAGGCCCATTGTCGTGCCTTTTCATCCGTCTCCATCACCTCATGTTTCAGAATGTTAATGCACTGCCCCATGTCGCAAGGATCTGTACACAATTTCCCAGTTCTTCCATGGCCTGTATACTCACCAGACATGTCACCCATTGAGCATGTTTGGGATTGCTCTGGATCGACGTGTACGACAGTGTGTTCCAGTTCCCACCAATATCCAGCAACTTCACACAGCCATTGAAGAGGAGTGGGACAACATTGTACAGACCACAATCAACAGCCTGATCCACTCAATCTCAAAGGTTCTACAAAAAACGTTTTGCCATATAATATTGTTTTATGTTAAATTAAAATTCCATAGATCTTATTTTTGTGTTAGTTGACAAGTTGAATCAGGTGTCCTAGCTCTGGAATAGATCAAATACATGGAATGGCTGGCTGTCGCCGAGGAGAGGTTTGAAGAACTGTAATATCCTACAGTTTCTCTGAAAGTTAGCTGAACAAGGACATGGATAATATACATCTAGCTGGTTTGTCTATGCATCAGCAGGACAGAACAGCAGGGTCGGGTAAGCTCATGGGGGGGTAGAGTGTGTCTCTGTTAACAACAGCTGGTGCGCAATCTCTAATATTAAGGAAGTCTTGATGTTCTGCTCGCCTGAGTTAGAATACCTCATGATAAGCTGTAGACCATACTAAGAGTTTTCATCTATATTTTTCGTAGCTGTCTATTTACCACCTCAAACCGATGCTGGCACTAAGACCACACTCAACGAGCTGTATAGGCCCATAAGTAAACAAGAAAATGCTCATCCAGAGGTGGTGCTCCTAGTGGCTGGTGATTTTAATGCAGGAAAACTGAAATTAGTTTTACCTAATTTCTACCAGCATGTCACCTGTGCAACTAGAGGTGAAAAAACTCTAGATCACTTTTACTCTACACAGAGATGTATACAAAGCATTTGGCAAATATGACCATAACTCTATCCTCTTAATTTCTTCTTACAAGTAAAAACTCAAACAGGAAGTGGTCCGATGAAGCGGATACCAAGCTGCAGGACTGTTTCGCTAGACCAGACTGAAATATGTTCCGGAACTCATCTGATGGCATTGAGGAGTTTACCACATCAGTCACCGGCTTCATTAATCAGTGCATCGACGACGTCATCCCCACAGTGACCATATGTACATATCCCAATCACAAGCCATGAGTTACAGGCAATATCCGCACTTAGCTAAAGGTTAGAGCTGCCTCTTTCAAGGAACGGGACACTAACCCGGACACTTATAAGAAATCCCGCTACCCCCATCAAACAGGCAAAGCATCAATACAGGACTAATGTGGCAGGCCTTGCAAACTATCACGGATTACAAAGGGAAACCCAGCTGCGAGCTGCCTAGTGACGCTGTTCATTGACTACAGCTCAGCGTTCAACACCATAGTGCCCTCCAAGCTCATTACTAAGCTAACGACCCTGGGACTGAACACCTCCCTCTGCAACTGGATCCTGGACTTCCTGATGGGACGCCCCAAGGTGGTTAGGGTAGGCAACAACACATCCGCCACGCTGACCATCAACACGGGGGCCCCTCAGGGGAGTGTGCTTAGTCCTCTCCTGTACTCTCTGTTCACCCACGACTACGTGGCCGCGCACGACTCCAAGACCATCATAAAGTTTGCCGACGACACGACAGTGGTAGGCCTGATCACCGACGATGATGAGACAGCCTATATGAAGCAGGTCAGAGACCTTGCAGTGTGGTGCCAGGACAAAAACCTCTCTCTCAACGTCAGCAAGACAAAGGAACTGATCATGGACACAGGAAATGGAGGGCCGTGCACACCCCTATTCACATCAACAGGGCTGTAGTGGAGCGGGTCTAGAGCTTCAAGTTCCTCGGTGTCCACACCTCTAAGGATCTATCATGGTCCAAACACACCAACACAGTCGTAAAGAGGGCATGACAACGCCTCTTCCCCTCAGGAGGCTGAAAAGATTTGGCATTGGTCCTCAGATACTCAAAATGTTCTACAGCTGCACCATTGAGAGCATCTTGACTGGCTGCATCACCGCTTGGCATGGCAACTGTTTGGCATCCGACCGCAAGGGTTTACAGACAGTAGTGCGTACGGCCCAATACATCACTGGGGCTGAGCTCCCGGCCATACAGGACCTCTATACCAGGGGGTATCAGAGGAAGGCCCTAGAAATGGTCAAAGACGTCAGCCACCCAAGTCATAGACTGTTCTATCTACTACCGCACGGCAAGCGGTACCGATGCACCAAGTCTGGAACCAACCGGACCCTGAACAGCTTCTACCCCCAAGCCATAAGGCTGTTAAATTGTTAGTTAAATAGTTAACCAAATAGCTACCTGGACTATCTGCATTGATCCTTTTTGTACTAACTGTTTTGCCTCATCACATTTGCTGCTGCTACTGTTTACTATCTGTCACTTTATTCCTAGTTATATGTCCATATCTACCTCAATTACTTCATACCCCTGCACATCGATTCTGTACTGATACCCCTTGTATATAGCCAAGTTATGGTTTTCATTGTGTATCTATTACGTTTTATTTTTTTATTATTTGTCTATTTTTGTTCTCTCTGCATTGTTGGGAAGAGCCCGTAAGTAAGCATTTCACTGTTAGTCCACACCCGTTGTTTACGAAATGTGACGAATCAAATGTCATTTGAGAACCTCTAATTTAGACAACAGTTCTTAATTGACATATGGCCTAACTTAAGTCTTTATCAAGACACCTTTGCTGGCCATATTCAACTTTTAATGGCATTACACAACCGATTAGATAAACTGGAACGACACTCCCGGTTGCACAAAAAGAGCTGTGAGCAAACCATGCCCCAAGATTTTCGAATGAGCCGCTGTCAGGGCTCTAAATTAAAACATTTCATTAGTAGCACTGGTACAGTTAGGAACGTCACATAAAATTTAGGAGAACAATATATATATATATATATATATATATATATATACAGGTAAAAGTCAGTAAATTAGAATATTTTGAAAAACTTGATTTATTTCAGTAATTGCATTCAAAAGGTGTAACTTGTACATTATATTTATTCATTGCACACAGACTGATGCATTCAAATGTTTATTTCATTTAATTTTGATGATTTGAAGTGGCAACAAATGAAAATCCAAAATTCCGTGTGTCACAAAATTAGAATATTACTTAAGGCTAATACAAAAAAGGGATTTTTTAGAAATGTTGGCCAACTGAAAAGTATGAAAATGAAAAATATGAGCATGTACAATACTCAATACTTGGTTGGAGCTCCTTTTGCCTCAATTACTGCATTAATGCGGCGTGGCATGGAGTCGATGAGTTTCTGGCACTGCTCAGGTGTTATGAGAGCCCAGGTTGCTCTGATAGTGGCCTTCAACTCTTCTGCGTTGTTGGGTCTGGCATTCTGCATCTTCCTTTTCACAATACCCCACAGATTTTCTATGGGGCTAAGGTCAGGGGAGTTGGCTGGCCAATTTAGAACAGAAATACCATGGTCCGTAAACCAGGCACGGGTAGATTTTGCGCTGTGTGCAGGCGCCAAGTCCTGTTGGAACCTGAAATCTCCATCTCCATAGAGCAGGTCAGCAGCAGGAAGCATGAAGTGCTCTAAAACTTGCTGGTAGACGGCTGCGTTGACCCTGGATCTCAGGAAACAGAGTGGACCGACACCAGCAGATGACATGGCACCCCAAACCATCACTGATGGTGGAAACTTTACACTAGACTTCAGGCAACGTGGATCCTGTGCCTCTCCTGTCTTCCTCCAGACTCTGGGACCTCGATTTCCAAAGGAAATGCAAAATTTGCTTTCGTCAGAAAACATGACTTTAGACCACTCAGCAGCAGTCCAGCTCTTTTTTTCCTTAGCCCAGGTGAGACGCTTTTCGCGCTGTTTCTTGGTCAACAGTGGCTTGACACGAGGTATGCGGCAGTTGAAACCCATGTCTTTCAAGCGTCTCTTGGTGGTGGATCTTGAAGCCCTGACTCCAGCAGCTGTCCACTCCTTGTGAATCTCCCCCACATTTTTGAATGGGTTTTTTTTCACAATCTTGACTAGGGCGCGGTGATCCCTATCGCTTGTACACTTTTTCTGACCACAGTTTTTCCTTCCCTTTGCCTCTCTATTAATGTGTTTGGACACAGAGCTCTGAGAACAGCCAGCCTCTTCTGCAATAACCTTTTGTGTCTTTCCCTCCTTGTGCAATGTGTCGATGGTCGCCTTTTGGACAGCTGTCAAATCTGAAGTCTTCCCCATGTTTGTGTAGGCTTCAGAACTGGACTGAGAGACCATTTAAAGCCCTTTGCAGGTGTTTTGAGTTAATCAGCTGATTATTTTGTGGCACCAGGTGTCTTCAAAATGTAACCCTTACACAATATTCTAATTTTGTGACACACGGAATTTTGGATTTTCATTTGTTGCCACTTCAAATCATCAAAATTAAATGAAATAAACATTTGAATGCATCAGTCTGTGTGCAATGAATAAATATAATGTACAAGTTACACCTTTTGAATGCAATTACTGAAATAAATCAAGTTTTTCAAAATATTCTAATTTACTGACTTTTACCTGTATATGTATGTATGTATATTTGTTTTAATTGATTAAGATATAGCTTACATTGGGCCTATATGAATCCTACTTACTTTCGAAGCACATCTCCTGAAGAAGATATCACATTTCCTTTCTGTGCCACCAAATGGTTGCATATACTGGTAAAGTTACCAGGTTGTTAGTAGGGCTGCATGATATGGAGAAAAAAATCGAAAAAATGCATTTTGACTTGCTATATATGATCAAAACACTGCAGAGAGCAAGATACATAAACTAATAGTTATAATAGAGAAAACGTGGATTTAGAAGCAACGTGGAAAGCAGCATTGTTTTTAAAAAATATATATGAATTAATTGACAGCATGCTGAGAGCAAGACATCTTCATGCTTGTTTGACACTTTTGAATGTTGTTCAAAAGGGAAATAAATAAAAAATATTCCCACCTGCCGAACACCTGGCTCGCCATTGTTAACAGAACTGTGGGAAAACATTGCCCGACAGGAGGGGGCGAAGGACACGGTCTACTGGTGGTTGGATGGACGGGTAGCTAGCTATCGTTGTCGCCCCCGCCCCTTCTTCTGTGGGGTTTATCGGCAACTGGGATCCAACGTTATTGTGCATTAATGGCACCTACTCTACTGGAGTGCCCCTGCCTCCCGCCTGTCCTAAATAAAACATTTACGATAGAAGTATAAAGAGGGGTTCCTGCAGATGCATGAACGCCTGTCTTCTTTGAGCAGTGTAGAGAAGAGTGGTTTTGCTTCTTCACTAGTGCTCCCAAAATTAAACTCCAGGTCGCACAGCTAAATTATCACTTAAAGAGTCATTATGGTTGCACATAGAACCATCACCCTTACCAAATAACTATTGAAGAACCTTGTTTTCTAAGTGTGCAGACACAGACAGGGACAATACAGCCACAAAGGCATACATGAGAAGCCAGGGATGTGAGCGCTGGTGGAAAAAGTTAGATACATGAGTCTTGCCATAAATTGTTTAGTAGAAAACTTTGGCATTACAAGACAGCTGCTGAAAACACCCTTAATAAGGCATCATGCAGAGAAATCACCATGCATGGTTTTTCAGATATACTTTTCGCATTGATGCATAGAAATGACTGTGCAAAACAATTAAATTGGCATTTGAGAATACATTATGCATTAAAAGAGCAGCAAAAAGGACAATTATAAAATAATTGCTATAATATTTTTTCACAATTTTATGCTATGACAGAGAGACAGTATGCTATACCTCCAACAAGCAATGGAACATTTAGAACACTGTAATTATTCTAACTACAGGAAGGAGATTCCGATAACATCTGTAGAACTACATGTGCTAGCGTGACAGGAAGTTATTTACTATCTCCATTATAGATAAACCGCTTCCGTAAAGAGGGCTAGATAATTGATGTGTAGAAAGTAGAAAACGTTCAACAACATGCACTAAAGAAAATGACATTGTCTACCCCTGTGGTGTATATCGGTGGAAGTTATATATATATATATATATATATATATATACACAAATCAATACATGGCAGCATATCTCTCTCTCTCTCTCTCTTAGTGAAAGTTAATGAATGATTCACCTGCTCGGCCATGTCCTCCCCCTTCAGCCTTTAGCCTGAGGATGAAGCGAGGGCCGGAAGTGTCTTTGAGAAGTTGATCAAGGTAGAGGCTCCCATCTACAGTCAGAATGTTGTTGGTGACTGCCGACGCTTGGCGGTCCGTTTCCCTCAAGGAGTTCAGGATAATACTGAAGGGATGCTCATGACCTGTCAGACACGACACATGTAGATCAGATCAGGTTTTTGTATAGAATTGGAGAATGCATTCACTCACTGCTGCTACCATTCTGAATGAATGGTCAAGTGGTTAGTGCTGCTGCTCCTGGTACACGTACATACCGCTGTCACAGTAGGACTGAATCCGGCCTATACTGCCCTGTGACACATTATAATTTGATTTTTCCTGGTAATCTGTCATTAGTTTACCATCTGTTCAAATATACCCCAAAATCGAAAGGAGTGGGAAGGAGTAAAAGGGCAAAGAGTCGAAAATTGAAAGGAGTGATTAAATGATGCTAGATACATGATGAATCACGAGCTCCTTATAATTACATGGGCTTAAAGACAAAGCAAATGTTAGATAAAAATGGTTGTAGTCTTACCAGTCCTAAGCTATTTTCTTTCAAACTGAAATCACCTACATTTCCCAGGGTACATTTTGTTGTTGCTGATTTAAATGTAGTCCAGTGTATCTCAGTTGGTAGAGCATGGTGCTTGCAACGCCAGGGTTGTGGGTTCGATTCCCACAGGGGACCAGTATGAAAAAAAGTATGAAAATGTATACACTCACTACTGTAAGTCGCTCTGGATAAGAGCGTCTGCTAAAATGGACATTGACTAAATTATATATTTTTCTACCAGTATTGACTTTAGACAGAATAGCATGCGATCGTATGAGACATTAATTCCAGACACACAAAGGCCCCCATGAATCTCTCTTCCGATCCCCAGGATTCTATACCTTGGCTTTGTGAGAGGCTTCTGTAGCCATGTCGCCAAATTACAGTTTCAAGTCACAAACCCTCCATGTGAACACACTAGGATGAGTACAGACAGAAAATCTGCCCGACTGAAATATTGATTCGGGTAATCCTTTGACTAGACAGAAACTATGGTCTAAAACCCAAGCCAAGCCGAGTGTGCCTCCATCCTGACTGTTTCTGGAGGCGTGTTTCAGTGCATAGTGATAGTACTGTCACATTTCCTCACCGATAAGAGGATATGGGGCTTCCTCTCTCCCTGAGACTACCCAGAGGCGGTAGTCAGTGGGTCTGCCCTGTGGGAGTAGAACAATTATGTTTAGGATGAAGAAAGGAAACACAGAGATATCTATAAGCCCAGGCATGATCAGAGACAGGAAATGCCATTGGAAAGCATAAAATGTTGTCAATGATCCTTGTGTTCCTCTCCTGATACTCTTCCTGTCTTCTCTAGAGATCTATGAGTAAAAATGTAGGCTTGTGGTAGTGGAATATGATCTAAATTCTAAAGAGTAAACCTTAAAAAAGCAAAACAAATGATTTACAACAGGTGTAACATTGCAGAGCTTGGAGAGCTTGAGTCTAGATCATGCATGAATATCTTCAACTTTAATAATGTTAATAATAATAATTATATATTATTCTATAATTATAGTAAAACATTTGTCCATACATAATCCAAACAGAAAATCCATACAGAAAATATTTGGATTAATTCTAATAATAGAACTGTCACGATCGTCGGGAACAGAGGACCAAGGCGCAGCGTTGAAGGCGAACATACTCTTTTATTAGTGATTACACGAACAAAAACAACAACCGATAACGTGACGTCCACGGTCTAACACAAACCACACTGGAACAAGATCCCACAAACACTGTGGGAAAACTGTCAGCTTAAGTATGGTTCCCAATCAGAGACAACAAGCAACAGCTGATACACGTTGCCTCTGATTGAGAACCACACTGGCCAACATAGAAATAGAAAACTAGAACAAAAACAAATGAAAACTCACACCCTGGCTCAACATACTAGAGTCCCCAGAGCCAGGGCATGACAAGAACAAAGACATAATGAATACAGAAATTGGTGGCAACAACTCACAGTGAGTCTAAATTGTTGGGTGAGGATCCTGATGACTTTGTCAACGTCGTATTTATTGTCCACATTCACAGTCGTCTAGATTAAAACACAAATAATCTTATAGAATTGGAAAAGATTGTCTGATGTTACTTGAATAAATGTTATGTTAACTAGAAATAGTCATACATTTAATCGTATTTCATTTAGAATGTGAACATTTGGGGAAAATAATCAATAAGCATCAGAGAAGTAGCAGTAGTTGTAGATGAGTGAATTTCCTTACCATTGCAGTATTTCCAATGTCCATGAGAACAACCTTCATGGTGAGATTACTGAGATATTCCACTTCCTTGGATTTGGTGATGTGCCTGTGCCAAATAGCACATGTGGCTTATATTAGTGCTAATATGCCTGCATCAGATAGGTACAGTACATAATCCTAGACATTTAATTTCAGAAGTCATTTTCTATATTGTACATCTGAGTATTTCCTTACCATTGTAAAGTGGAAAGCAACTTCTCCTTTGCCTCCGATGAACTGATAGGGAAAACAAATGTCATCTTTATTTCCCCCAAAATAGGAATTTAATTAAATGTCAAGTACTAACCAAAAATGACTAGATTGGCGTAGCCTACCTGAGAGTTACCACGTAATTGATGGTAGGCCAGCCAATGACAAAGGAGTTCTTTGAGCACAGTTTTCTCTCTGCAACCTCTTCCATGCAGGAAGCCAACCACATCTCACACAGCCTCACTCTCTCCTTCCGTTTGCGGCTTGTGGAAGACCTACAAGACAACAGGGTAAATACAACAATATCAGCTACAGTGAGGGAAAAAAGTATTTGATCCCCTGCTGATTTTGTACGTTTGCCCACTGACAAATAAATTATCAGTCTATAATTTTAATGGTAGGTTTATTTGAACAGTGAGAGACAGAATAACAACAAAAAAATCCAGAAAAACGCATGTCAAACATTTTATAAATTGATTTGCATTTTAATGAGGGAAATAAGTATTTGATCCCCTCTCAATCAGAAAGATTTTTGGCTCCCAGGTGTCTTTTATACTGGTAACGAGCTGAGATTAGGAGCACACTCTTAAAGGGAGTGCTCCTAATCTCATTTTGTTACCTGTATAAAAGACACCTGTCCACAGAAGCAATCAGTCAATCAGATTCCAAACTCTCCACCATGGCCAAGAGCAAAGAGCTCTCCAAGGATGTCAGGGACAAGATTGTAGAACTACACACGGTTGGAATGGGCTACAAGACCATCGCCAAGCAGCTTGGTGAGAAGGTGACAACAGTTGGTGCGACTATTCGCAAATGGAAGAAACACAAAAGTACAGTCAATCTCCCTCGGCCTGGGGCTCCATGCAAGATCTCACCTCGTGGAGTTGAATTGATCATGAGAACGGTGAGGAATCAGCCCAGAACTACACGGGAGGATCTTGTCAATGATCTCAAGGCAGCTGCGACCATAGTCACCAAGAAAACAATTGGTAACACACTACGCCGTGAAGGACTGAAATCCTGCAGCGCCCGCAAGGTCCCCCTGCTCAAGAAAGCACATATACATGCCCGTCTGAAGTTTGCCAATGAACATCTGAATGATTCAGAGGAGAACTGGGTGAAAGTGTTGTGGTCAGATGAGACCAGAATCGAGCTCTTTGGCATCAACTCAACTCGCCGTGTTTGGAGGAGGAGGAATGATGCCTATGACCCCAAGAACACCATCCCCTCCGTCAAACATGGAGGTGGAAACATTATGCTTTGGGGGTGTTTTTCTGCTAAGGGGACAGGACAACTTCACCGCATCAAAGGGACGATGGACGGGGCCATGTACCGTCAAATCTTGGGTGAGAACCTTCCCTCAGCCAGGGCATTGAAAATAGGCCGTGGATGGGTATTCCAGCATGACAATGACCCAAAACACACGGCCAAGGCAACAAAGGAGTGGCCCAAGAAGAGGCACATTAAGGTCCTGGAGTGGCCTAGCCAGTCTCCAGACCTTAATCCCATAGAAAATATGTGGAGGGAGCTGAAGGTTCGAGTTGCCAAACATCAGCCTCGAAACCTTAATGACTTGGAGAAGATCTGCAAAATGGAGTGGGACAAAATCCCTCCTGAGATGTCTGCAAACCTGGTGGCCAACTACAAGAAACGTCTGACCTCTGTGATTGCCAACAAGGGTTTTGCCACCAAGTACTAAGTCATGTTTTGCAGAGGGGTCAAATACTTATTTCCCTCATTAAAATGCAAATAAATTAATAACATTTTTGACATGCGTTTTTCTGGATTTTTTGTTTGTTATTCTGTCTCTCACTGTTCAAATAAACCTACCATTAAAATTATAGACTGATCATTTCTTTGTCAGTGGGCAAACGTACAAAATCAGCAGGGGATCAAATACTTTTTTCCCTCACTTTATCTATCAGGACAAATACAACAGTAATTGACTCATCAATTCCACTTCATATTTTCATTTTGTTAAAGTGCCCCTCGTCCTAAAATAAATCTGCACAATTTACCTAATGGACAAAATGCAACTTCTAATATGTCATTGTTAGTTCTCATCTATTCCTATTCATCTTGTTCAGTAAGAGAGCATTCTTTTTAGATGCTGAGGACTAACTTTGATTTAGCGATGATGAGTGTGTCACTGAAGAGGAACAAGTGTCTCTCCTGGGTCTGCAGTCCAGTGCTGAGTTGCACGTGCTCCTCCATCACAAACTCTGCACTCTGGGACGTTAGGCTCTGGATCAGCGCTGCTCTTGGTGATGGGACTGGAACGCTATCCCTAAAGACAAAAACCACTCTGTAAAGGGGGTATCATGTCTCTGGCAATGATTCAGTTAATTGTACTAATTGAATTGAATCCCCCCGGGGGACTTTGTTTCCCATCAAAAAGGCATTTACAATACATTGATCACATCACACAAAAACACACAGGGGTTATATATAGTGCCTTCAGAAAGTATTCATACCCTTGACTTACAGTGCATTCGGAAAGTATTCAGACCCCTTCCCTTTCCTGCATTTTGTTGTGTTACAGCCTGAATTCAAAAGGGATTAAATATATATTTTTTCTCACCCATCTACACACAATACCCCATAATGACAAAGTGAAAACAGGTTTTTAGAAATGTTTGCACATTCATTGAAAATGATATACAGAAATATCTAATTTACATAAGTATTCACATCCCTGAGTCAATACATGTTAGAAACCTCTTTGGCAGTGATTACAGTTGTGAGTCTTTATGGGTAAGCTTTGCACACCTGTGTTTTAGGTTATTGTCCTGCTGAAAGGTGAATTTGTCTCCCAGTGTCTGTTAGAAAGCAGACTAACTAGGTTTTCCTCTAAGATTTTGACTATGTTTAGCTCCATTCTGTTTCTTTTTATCCTAAAAACTCCCTAGTCCTTGCCAACGACAAGCATACCCATAACATGATGCAGCCACCACAATGCTTGAAAATATGAAGAGTGGTACTCAGTGATGTGTCGTGTTGGATTTCCCCCAAACATAACGCTTTGTATTCAGGACATAAAGTTTTGCCAATTTCTTTGCAGTTTTACTTAAGTGCCTTATTGCAAACAGCATGCATGTTTTGGAATATTTTTTATTCTGTACAGGCTTCCTTCTTTTCAGTCTGTCATTTAGGTTAGTATTGTGGAGTAACTACAATGCTGTTAATCCACCCTCAGTTTTCTCCTATCACAGCCATTAAACTCTAACTGTTTTAAAGTCATCATTGGCCTCATGGTGAAATCTCTGAGCGGTTTCCTTCCCCTCCGGCAACTGAGTTAGTTACCCCATCCAAAGTTTAATTAATAACTTCACCATGCTCAAAGTGATATTCGATGTATGCTTTTATTTTAACCCATCTACCAATAGGTGCCCTTTGCGAGGCATTGGAAAACCTCCCTGGTCTTTGTGGGTGAATCTGTGTTTGAAATTCACTGCTCTACTCAGGGACCTTAGAGATAATTGTATGTGTGGGGTACAGAGATGAGGTAGTCATTCAAAAATCCTCTTAAACACTATTATTGCACATAGAGTGAGTCCATGCAACTTATTATGTGACTTGTTATGCAATTTTTACTCCTGAACGTATTTAGGCTTGCCATAACAAAGGGGTTGAATACTTATTGACTCAGCTTTTCATTTTGTATTAATTTGTAAAAATATTTCTAAAAACATAATTCCACTTTGACATTATGGGGTATTGTGTGTAGGCTATTGACACAAAATCTCAATGTAATTTTAAATTCAGGCTGTAACACAGCAACATTTTGAAAAAGTCAAGGGGTGTGTATACTTTCTGAAGGCACTTTACTTTGTAGGGGTTACATATTTGAATAACTTAACTATTTAGTGTCACGATCGTCTTGAAAAGATGCGGGCCAAGGCGCAGCGTGAGATGCGTACATATTTTATTTAGTACACCACAGCGAACAAAACAACAAACGATACGTGAAGTCCTACGGTACAAACACAAACCAAAAGGAACAAGAAACCACACCAAACAAATGCCTTACGGCTACCTAAGTATGGCTCCCAATCAGAGACAACGAGCTTCAGCCGTCTCTGATTGGGAGCCACCCTGGCCAACATAGAAATACAAAATCTAGAAACTCACACCCTGGCTCAACATACGAGAGTCCCCAGAGCCAGGGCGTGACAGTACCCCCCCCCAAAGGCGCGGACTCCGACCGCGCCAACCAAACACAACAGGGGAGGGACCGGGTGGGCCCTCCGCCTCGGCGGCGGATCCGGCTCCGGGCATGACCCCCACTCCCTCTCTAACCCCCCAAAGCGCCCCTGGTCCGGTCTGGCCCTGCTGGCCGGAGCTGGACTGAATACTGGTGGAGCGGATTGCTCTAGCTCCGGAGTGGAGCAGCTGACCGGTGCCGGACCAGACACCGGTGGAACAGGCACGGGCTGTACCGGACTGACGACGCGCACCACAGGCTTGGTGCGGGGAGCAGGGACAGGCCGGACCGGGCTGACGACGCGCACCATTAGCTTGGTGCGGGGAGCAAGGACGGGCCGAACCGGGCTGGCGACGCGCACCATTGGCTTGGTGCGGGGAGCAGGAACAGGCCGGGCCGGGCTGGCGACGCGCACCATTGGCTTGGTGCGGGGAGCAGGAACAGGCCGGGCCGGGCTGGCGACGTGCACCATAGGCTTGGTGCGGGTAGCAGGAGCAGGCCGGGCCGGGCTGGCGACGCGCACCATAGGCTTGGTGCGGGGAGCAGGAACAGGCCGGACCGGGCTGGCGACGCGCATCACAGGCTCGGTGCGAGGGACAGGAACAAGCCGGACCGGGCTGGGAACACACACCACTGGCCCTACGCGGGGATCAGGAACGGGCCGGACCGGACTGGCAACACACCCCAGTACCTCTCACCTCAACACTCTCCTTCCCCCTGGTGACCAGTGGCCCCCGTAAACCTGGCGGCCTCCTCTGCTAACCGCTCTATTGCGGCCTCCCGCTGCCTCGTCGTCCACGGCGTGAACCCCCCCCCTAAAAAAATTCTGGGCGTCTCTCTCCCCCGTGGACCCGGCCTCCATGGCTCTCGCCAGACTCTCGCTCATCTGCTCCCACGTCCAACCTCTCTCCTCATCACGCTGCTTGACCCAGTCGTGTTGGTTTCTTCTGTCACGATCGTCTTGAAAAGATGCGGGCCAAGGCGCAGCGTGAGATGCGTACATATTTTATTTAGTACACCACAGCGAACAAAACAACAAACGATACGTGAAGTCCTACGGTACAAACACAAACCAAAAGGAACAAGAAACCACACCAAACGAATGCCTTACGGCTACCTAAGTATGGCTCCCAATCAGAGACAACGAGCTTCAGCCGTCTCTGATTGGGAGCCACCCTGGCCAACATAGAAATACAAAAACTAGAAACTCACACCCTGGCTCAACATACGAGAGTCCCCAGAGCCAGGGCGTGACATTTAGCTGTCTGTTACTCATGGGAATGGGAATGCATGGCTTCTGGGCAATGATGATATAGAAGTGCATTTTTTATTTAAGTTACATTTAAATTAATAATTAAATGTCCAACAAATAGGCCTGTGTCTGATCTGACGCCTCCATACTTGCCTAAGAAAAATGGAACTACAACCAGTGGCGTAGCACAGTTTTGCAAGGCCCCCTGCAAGGTCTTTAGAATTTTGGCATGCTTTTCTAGATTTAAAACATAAAACAACGTTTATAAAGCAAACATTATCCCTTAGGTCTGGCACAGCAAATACTTAAATTGTTTAAGCATATGTTGCAGAACATTGGTTTAAGTATTTGTTCACAATATTGCCATTTTATTATTCTTAAGGGCCATCAACGACGAAGTTGACAAGACATATTTTTGCCTCTAAAAATAAAAGTTCATGTCACGAATTCCGCCGAGGCTGCTCCTCCTCCTTGTTCGGGCAGGCTTCGGCGTTCGTCGTCCCCGGAGTACTAGCTGCCACCGTTTGACGTTATCTATGTTTGTTTGGTTTTGTCTGTTTAGTGCACCTGTTCCTTATCACGTCTTGATTATGTCACCAATAAGTTTCCTTTGGTTTTGTTTGTAGTTGTGTGTCGTTGTCCGCCTGTCCGTTGGTGATGTGAGTTTTCTCTCGTGTTTTTACGCACTGTATTTTGCGTGATCTCTTGTATTTGTGTATTGACGCACTGTATGCGTAATCGCTCGCCTCCGTTTTGTTGAGGCCCGTTATTTTGTATTTGTCGTGTTTGACAAGTAAAGTCTGTTGGACTAAGCTTATGTGTCCTGCGCCTGACTCCAACACCACATCCACATCAGCCCTTGTCAGTTCAATACAAACATTTGTAAAATATGTAAAATTATTCATGAGGAAATCCACAACAAAAACATAACCATTCTATCAGATCTTTCAGCAATGACGGAGTTGACGTTAGACAAAAATCTGACAGAGTTTATGTTTTACGGAGTTGACAAAAATGTAATTTTTCTTCTTCATTCAAGTGGTATAGATAGTAGCAATTAGGTTTTTCCTCAGTTGTTTTATGACTCCAAAACCTAATTAAATGTAACATATAGTATTTTAACCAAAATTCATATTCTATCATAATCTATCAGGCAGCTGGAGTTGACAGTTTATGGTTGTGACCATAGGTTTTTCTTTCAATTAAGACCTAGAGCACCAGATGAGGGGAGTTCTTTACTAATTAGTGACCTTAATTCATAAATCAAGTACAAGGGAGGAGCAAAAACACGCAGACACTCGGCCCTCCGTGGAATGAGTTTGTCACATGTGCACTACATGTAATGAAGACATGAATAAGGGGTCCGTCCTTATGGTATAACTGCCCCTGCTCATTCCTGATTTCTAAAAAAATGTATTGAACCTATATTTTATCAGGGGGTTGTCAGGGTTGAGCGTAGAGGTAACGTGGAATCACACGCAGGACACACAGAGGTTCGAAACAGATGTCTTTAGTGAAGTCCAAGAAACAAGCCAACCACGGCAACAGGCCACAGGCGAACTTTACGCACAATGGTAAGTACAAAACAAATGCGCACAAAGTGCGGGACTCTCTCTAACAAGACGATACAGAGAGAACAGAACAACGAACTAACACAACACGTGACATCGAACAATTACACACAACACCTGACCAAACTCAAGAGAACTAAATAGGATGCATAATGAACACTAACAAGGAACAGGTGTAACAAACAGACAAAACCAATCAAACATAGAAACATAGAACGGTGGCAGCTAGTACTCCGGAGACGACGACCGCCGAAGCCTGCCCGAACTAGGAGAAGGAGCAGTCTTGGCCGAAACCGTGACAGTACCCCCCGCTGACCCCGGCCTCGGGGACGACCAGGAAGACGCGGAGCAGGGCGCGTGGGATGACCACGATGGAACTCGGTCAGAAGAGACGGGTCTAGGATGTCCCTCCTCGGCACCCAGCACCGCTCCTCCGGGCCGTACCCCTCCCACTCCACGAGATATTGGAGACCCCCCATCCGGCATCTCGAATCTAGGATGGACCGAACAGTGTACGCCGGAGCCCCCTCGATGTCCAACGGGGGCGGAGGAGTCTCTTCTATCTCATAGGCCTGGAGTGGACCAGCTACCACCGGCCTGAGGAGAGACACATGGAACGAGGGGTTAATATTCTTGTAATCAATGGGCAGTTGTAACCTGTAACACACCTCGTTCAATCTCCTCAGGACTTTAAAAGGCCCCACAAACCGCCGACCCAGCTTCCGGCAGGGCAGGCGGAGGGGCAAGTTTCTGGTCGAGAGCCAGACTCGATCTCCAGGTGCGTACACTGGCCCCTCACTGCGGTGGAGATCGGCGCTCGTCTTATGTCGACGGATGGCTCGCTGCAGATGGATGTGCAGCGTTCCACGTCTCCTCCGAGCGCCGCACCCACTCATCCACCGCAGGGGCCTCGATCTGGCTCTCATGCCAAGGTGCCAGAACCGGCTAGTACCCTAACACACACTGGAAAGGGGTTAGTTTAGTGGAGGAGTGGCGGAGAGAGTTCTGTGCCATCTCGGCCCAGGGAACATATCTCGCCAACTCCTCCGGCCGGCCCTGGCAATACGACCTCAGAAACCTACCCACATCCTGGTTGACACGTTCGACCTGCCCATTACTCTCCGGGTGGTAACCCGAGGTAAGGCTCACCGAAACCCCCAACCGTTCCATAAACGCTCTCCAGACTCTGGAGGTAAACTGGGGGCCTCGATCAGACACTATATCCTCGGGTACCCCGTAATGCCGGAAGACGTGGGTAAATAGAGCCTCAGCGGTCTGTAGGGCAGTAGGAAGACCTGGCATGGGAAGGAGACGACAGGCCTTCGAGAACCGATCCACAACGACCAGGATGGTGGTATTCCCCTGTGAGGGGGGAAGGTCTGTAACAAAATCCATGAGACCAGGGTCATTGTGGAACGGGCAGGGGTTGTAACTTTGCCCCTGGGCAAGTATCTGGGCGCCTTACACTGGGCACACACCGAGCAGGAGGAGACATAAATCCTCACATCCCTGGCTAACGTTGGCCACCAGTACTTTGTGCTAAGGCAGTGCCCTGTCCGGCCAATACCTGGATGCCCAGAGGAGGGTGACGTGTGAGCCCAATAAATGAGTCGATCCCGGACCTCGAGCGGGACGTACGTCCGACCCACCGGACACTGTGGAGGACTAGGGTCGGTGCGTAACGCCCGCTCGATCTCTGTATCGACCTCCCATACCACCGGTGCAACCAGACAAGACTTAGGTAGTATGGGAGTGGGCTCAACGGACCTCTCCTCCGTGTCATACCGCCGAGACAGGGCATCTGCCTTCCCGTTCTGGGACCCAGGGATGTAAGTGATCTTAAACACGAACCGGGCTAGAAACATAGTCCACCGAGCCTGGCGAGGATTCAGTCTCCTAGCTGCCCGAATGTATTCCAGGTTACGGTGGTCAGTCAAAATGAGAAAAGGGTGTTGAGCCCCCTCAAGCCAATGCCTCCACACCTTTAGGGCTTGTACCACGGCTAACAGCTCCCTGTCCCCTACGTCATAATTACGCTCCGCCGGACTGAGCTTTTTCAAATAAAAAGCACAGGGGCGGAGTTTAGGTGGTGGGCCGGACCGTTGTGAGAGAACGGCCCCGATACCGGCTTCAGACGCGTCCACCTCCACTTGGAATGGTAAAGCGGGATCCGGGTGCGCCAGCACCGGAGCTGAGGTAAACAGGTCCTTCAGTCTCCCAAAAGCCCTGTCCGCCTCAGCTGACCACCGCAAGCGCACCGGACCCCCCTTCAGAAGGGACGTTATGGGAGCTGCCACCTGTCCGAAACCCCGGATAAACCTCCGGTAGTAATTCGCAAAACCCAAGAACTGCTGCACCTCTTTAACCGTGGTTGGGGTTTGCCAATTACGCACGGCTGACACACGGTCAACCTCCATCTTCACCCCTGACGCAGACAACTGATAACCCAAAAAGGAGACCGACTCCTGGAAGAACAGACATTTCTCTGCCTTGACATACAGGTCATGCTCCAACAGCCTCCTCAATACTCGGCGCACCAGGGCTACATGCTCGGCTCGGGTAGAACTGTACACCAGAATATCGTCTATGTACACGACTACTCCCTGCCCCTGCATGTCCCGGAAAATCTCATCTACAAAGGATTGGAAGACTGATGGAGCATTCATTAACCCGTATGGCATGACGAGATACTCGTAATGACCGGAGGTAGTACTAAATGCTGTCTTCCATTCATCGCCCTCTCTAATGCGCACCAAGTTATATGCGCTCCTGAGGTCCAATTTTGTGAAGAACCGTGCCCCGTGTAATTCAGTCATAGTCGCAATCAGAGGGAGTGGATAACTATATTTCACAGTAATCTGATTGAGACCGCGGTAATCAATACACAGGCGCAAACCTCCATCCTTTTTCTTCACAAAAAAGAAGCTCGAGGACGCGGGTGAAGTGGAGGCCGTATGTATCCCTGTCTCAGAGACTTGGCAATGTATGTCTCCATCGCCCTCTTCTCCTCTTGTGACAAAGGATACACATGGCTCCGCGGGAGCGCAGATCCTGCCTGGAGGTCTATCGCACAATCCCCCTGTCTATGAGGCGGCAACCGCGCCGTTCTCGTCTTGCTAAACACGAGTGCCAAATCCTCATACTCGGGGGGGATGTGCAGTGCGGGCATTTGGTTCGGACTCTCCACCGAGGTCGCCCCTACGGAAACACCCAGACATAGCCCCTCACACTGGGCAGACCACCCCTTAAGAGCCCTCTCTCGCCACGAAATAGTAGGATCATGTGTAATCAACCAGGGAAGCCCCAGCACCACCGGATACGCAGGAGAGTCGATCAGATAGAGCTGAATCGTCTCCTCATGACCCCCCTGCGTCTCCATCCTAAGTGGCACTGTGACCTCCCTAATCAACCCGGATCCTAACGGACGGCTATCTAGGGCATGTATTATTTACCGGAAGGAGAGGGATCCCTAACTCTACACAGAATTTGCGATCTACAAAATTCCCAGCTGCGCCTGAATCTACTAGCGCCTTATGCTGGGAACGAGGTGCAACCTGTGGAAAACAAACAGGTATGGTTATGTGTACGACAGAAAGCTCTGGATAAGTGGGGCGCCTACTCACCTGGGAGGACTCCCCAATGTGTGGCCTGCCTTCTCTTCCACCAGGAGACCCTCCCCAGCACCTAGCCGCGGTGTGCCCTCCACGGCCACAGTTGGTGCAGGGGACGGCCCCTCTCGGGCTCCTTCTCCTCCGTTCTCTAGCGCCAGCACCTCCGAGCTCCATAGGGCTCGGCTCAGAGGTGCTGGAGGGTGGAATGGGTGACCCCCACCCGGGACGCCCGCGGGCGGCGAGCAGGGTGTCCAGCCGAATGGCCATGTCAACCAATTGGTCAAATGAAAGCGTGGTATCCCTGCACGCCAACTCTCTGCGGACGTCCTCCCGGAGGCTGCAGCGGAAGTGATCTATGAGAGCCCGCTCATTCCACCCTGCATCTGCCGCTAGAGTCCGGAACTCCAGTGCAAACTCCTGAGCGCTCCTCATCCCCTGCCGGAGGTAGAATAGACGCTCCCCCGCCACCTTCCCCTCCGGTGGATGGTCAAACACTGCACGGAAGCGGCGGGAGAACTCCGCATAGGTGATAGTTGCGGCGTCTATTCTCCTCCATTCGGCGTTGGCCCACTCCAACGCCTTGCCGGTGAGACAGGAGATGAGGGCGGAAACGCTCTCGTGTCCCGAGGGCGCCGGGTGTACGGTGGCGAGGTAGAGTTCAACTTGCAACAGGAACCCCTGACACCCGGCAGCGGTGCCGTCGTACGCCCTCGGGAGCGAGAGCCGAATCCCACTGGGTTCCGGAAGTTGGACAGGCGGGCTGACCGATGGTGATGGTGTGGTAGGTGGGGGTGTGGGTACCCCGCTGGTCTCCCATCGATGGAGGGTGTTCATCACTCTGTCCAGAGCGTGCCCGATTTGGTTAATCCTGTCCTCCTGTCCACGAAGCCGCTCCTCGATGATCTCCGTGGGTGCGGTTGCTCCTGCTGATTCCATTGTAATGGTGTGTAATTATGTCAGGGTTGAGTGTAGAGGTAACGTGGAATCACACGCAGGACACACAGAGGTTCGAAACAGATGTCTTTAGTGAAGTCCAAGAAACAAGCCAACCACGGCAACAGGCCACAGGCGAACTTTACGCACAATGGTAAGTACAAAATAAATGCGCACAAAGTGCGGGACTCTCTCTAACAAAACGATACAGAGAGAACAGAACAACGAACTAACACAACACGTGACATCGAACAATTACACACAACACCTGACCAAACTCAAGAGAACTAAATAGGACGCATAATAAACACTAACAAGGAACAGGTGTAACAAACAGACAAAACCAATCAAACATAGAAACATAGAACGGTGGCAGCTAGTACTCCGGAGACGACGACCGCCGAAGCCTGCCCGAACAAGGAGAAGGAGCAGCCTCGGCCGAAACCGTGACAGGGGTCATACTGAGACAAAGGTCTGTTTTACAGATGAGCCCTGAATGACACATTACAGAAAATACACACATCAACATATCAATCCAAAATACAAGCAGAAATAAAGAAAAACACCTTCATAAAAAACAAACACATTCATCAGTAATAATTTCCTCAATCAGCTTTCTGAATTGCACCAAAACATCACATTTAAGAACATTTTGAAGATTGAGTCTCATAGCAAAGGGTCGGAATACTTATGTAAATAAGGTATTTCTGTTTTAAATTTTTAATAAATATGCAAACATTTCTAAAAACCTGTTTTTGCTTTGTCATTATGGGGTATTGTGTGTAGATTGATGAGGATTTTTATTTATTTAATCAATTTAATCCATTATTTAACCCCATAATGACAAAGTGAAAACAGGTTTTTAGAAATGTTTGCAAATGTATAAAAAATAACAGAAATACCTTATTTACATAAGTATTCAGACCCTTTGCTATGAGACTCGAAATTTAGCTCAGGTGCATCCTGTTTCCATTGATCATCCTTGATATGTTTCTACAACTTGATTGGAGTCCACCTTTGGTAAATTCAATTGATTGGACATGATTTGGAAAGGCACACACCTGTCTATATAAGGTCCCACAGTTGACAGAGCAAAAATCAAGCCATGAGGTCGAAGGAATTGTCCGTAGAGCTCCGAGAAAGGATTGTGTCAAGGCACATCTGTGGAAGGGTACCAAAATATTTATTCAGCATTGAAGGTCCCCAAGAACACATTGGCCTCCATCATTCTTAAATGGAAGAAGTTTGGAACCACAAAAACTCTTCCTACAGCTGGCTGCCTGGCCAAATTGAGCAATCAGGGAGGTGACCAAGAACCCGATGGTCACTCTGACAGAGCTCCAGAGTTCCTCTTTGGAGATTGGAGAATCTTCCAGAAGGACAACCATCTATGCAGCACTCCACCAATCAGGCCTTTATGGTAGAGTGGCCAGACGGAAGCCACTCCTCAGTAAAAGGCACATGACAGCCCGCTTGGAGTTTGCCAAAAGGCACCTAAAGGTCTCTCAGACCATGAGAAACAAGATTCTCTGGTCTGATGAAACCAAGATTCAACTCTTTGGCCTGAATGCCAAGCGTCACGTCTGGAGGAAACCTGGCACCATCCTTACCTTGAAGCATGGTGGTGGCAGCATCATGCTGTGGGGACGTTTGTCAGCGGCAGGGACTGGGAGACTAGTCAGGTTTGAAGGAAAGATGAACGGAGCAAAGTACAGAGAGATCCTTGATGAAACCTGCTCCAGAGCGCTCAGGACCTCAGACTGGGGCGAAGGTTCACCTTGTCTTGGTACACAGCCAAGACAATGCAGGAGTGACATTTCTGGAGAGACCTGAAAATAGCTGTGGAGCGACGCTCCCCATCCAACCTGGCAGAGCTTGAGAAGATCTGCAGAGAAGAATGGGAGAAACTCCCCAAATACAGGTGTGCCAAGATTGTAGCGTCATACCCAAGAAGACTTGAGGCTGTAATCGCTGCCAAAGGTGCTTCAACAAAGTACTGAGTAAAGGGTCTGAATATTTATGTAAATGTATTTTTCAAAAAATATATACTTTTTATTTAATCCATTTTAGAATAAGGCTGTAACGTAACAAAATGTGGAAAAAGTCAAGGGGTCTGAACACTTTCCGAATGCACTGTATGGACACCATCCAAAGTACATACAGAATGCGTAAATCATCACTTATTTCTATACGCGTTAGTATAGAGTTAGTATTACCTGCATTCAGTACTAATTTCAGGTCAGTAAAGTTTTCTGTAATACAGTGAAGGCAGACTGTAGTTCAGATAGAGCCTAGGCCAATTGAGAAAATACTCTGAATTAGCAGTGTGATCAACAGTATCGAAAGCCTTTGACAGGTCAATGATGAGGACAGAACAATGTTGCCTTTTATCCATACTGAACAAGAGAACAAATACATTAGAGTGTCTAGTTTGAGAAACAGGACTCACAGGTCCTCAACTGGCAGCTTCATTAAATAGTACCCGCAAAACACCAGTCTCAACATCAACAGTGAAGAGGCGACTCCGGGATGCTGACCTTCTAGGCAGAGTCACAAAGAAAAATACATATCTCAGACTGCCCATCTTTAATCTTTTATTTTTGTTGGCCAGTCTGAGATATGGCTTTTTCTTTGTAACTCTGCCTAGAAGGTCAGCATCCCGGAGTCGCCTCTTCACTGTTGACGTTGAGACTGGTGTTTTGCGGGTACTATTTAATGAAGCTGCCAGTTGAGGACCTGTGAGGCATCTGTTTTTCAAACTAGACACTCTAATGTATTTGTCCTCTTGCTCGGTTGTTCACCGGGGCCTCCCACTCCTCTTTCTATTCTGGTTAGAGCCAGTTTGCGCTGTTCTGTGAAGGGAGTAGTACACAGCGTTGTACGAGATCTTCAGTTTCTTGGCAATTTCTCGCATGGAATAGCCTTCATTTCTCAGAACAAGAATAGACTGATGAGTTTCATAAGAAAGTTATTTGTTTCTGGCCATTTTGAGCCTGTAATCGAACCCACAATTGCTGATGCTCCAGATACTCAACTGGTCTCAAGAAGACCAGTTTTATTGCTTCTTTAATCAGCACAAAACTTTTCAGCTGTGCTAACATAATTGCAAAAGGGTTTTCTAATGATCAATTAGCCTTTTGAAATGATAAACTTGGATTAGCAAACACAACATGCCATTGGAACACAGGACTGATGGTTGCTGATATAGGGCCTCTTTACGCCTATGTAGATATTCCATAAAAATCAGCCGTTTCCAGCTACAATAGCCATTTACAACATTAACAATGTCTACACTGTATTTCTGATCAATTTGATGTTATTTTAATGGACAAAAAATTTGATTTTCTTTCGAAAACAAGGACATTTCTAAATGACCCCAAACTTTTGAACTGTAGTGTACACAAAGGTGTCAAATGACAATTATTGAGTTAGTATCAATGTTGAAATCACTATGATTGTTGCTGCAAATACAGAAGCATGTACTACAGTGCTGATTGTCTGCCTTAAAACAGTTCTTCAATTGTTCATGACTATGAGACAAAAAAGGGCATAGTGAGGGAATCCAGATGTCTACAGAATGAAGTGTCAATTAATAATAATAGTGATCTTTTGTAAACCAAGCCAACCAAAAGGTAGATAGACACTAAACTATCTTCATTTTTTGTAGGAGCTAATCCGAGATGGCAAGAGCCCCACAGGCCGTATTTAACAGGGGTTGTTTTTGTTACTCCTCGCTATTTAGCTGCCGTTACCATGATAGAGCAGCTCTGAGACCAAATAAAGGCAGGAATTCTTTGCAGATGGCAGCGGTAAAGACCTTGGGACTGTGGAGTGCCGTGTGCGTTATGCGTCACTGAGACAGTGAGCTAGAGCAGGGCTTGGAGAAGAGAGGAGGGTCAAACATGAAAACAAAATGTTAGCCACTCCACAGCTCAAGAGCATTACAAACATCATTGGAGAATCGAAAACGACATCCATAGGTCGTATGCATAGCCGCAGGAAGTAGTTTGGGGGGGAGGGATTTGGAAAAATGTTTGCCAGTGCTACAGACGGCTATATCGGTCCAGTAATACAGGACTAGTGAAGGCCCAGTGCACTACTTTTGGGAAAATATTATACAAATAAATAAATAATTATTTTATGTTTTAGGAGGTACTGCAGCACCCACAGCACTCCTACTTCCTGTGGCTATGGTCAAATGGAGCATATGCATTCTTACGCTGTATACTAATAAAACATACTGTACCATATCATATCCAGTATGGCATGATGTCGTTCAATAACTCATGACAACATAAGCCTATCACAAGTCTGCTTCTAGTTTGCTTTCATGGTAATTGCAGCAACAGGGCCTGTGCAATGCTGACAGCAATACAAATATTGTATCACTGAACAATTACAATGGCTGGAAAAACGTAAATGTTCCTGTCAGATGAGACAGTTATTATGGCTGAACAGTGAGTAAACACAAGCAGTCACTGACATGAGACAAATGGAGCTGTGAAAACAAATACACTATATATACAAAAGTATGTGGACACCCCTTCAAATTAGTGGATTTGGCTATTTCAGTCACACCCGTTGCTGATAGGTGTATAAAATCGAGCACACAGACATGCAATCTCCATAGACAAACATAAGCAGTAAAATGGCCTTACTGAAGAGCTCAGTGACTTTCAACGTGGCACCGTCATAGGATGCCACCTGTCCAACAAGTCAGTTCGTCAAATTTCTGCCCTGCTAGAGCATCCCAGTCAACTGTAAGTGCTGTTATTGTGAAGTGGAAACATCTAGAAGCAGCAACAGCTCAGCCGGGAAGTGGTTGGCCACACAAGCTCATAGAAGGGGACCGCGAGTGCTGAAGCACGTAGTGCGTAAAAAATGGTCTATCCTCGGTTGCAACACTCCCTACCGAGTTCCAAACTGCCTCTGGAAGAAATGTCAGCACAAGAACTGTTCATCGGGAGCTTCATGAAATGGGTTTCCATGGCCGAGCAGCCGCACACAAGCCTAAGATCACCATGTGCAATGCCAATCGTCGGCTAGAGTGGTGTAAAGCTCACCGCCACAGGGCTCTGGAGCAGTAGAAACTCGTTCTCTGGAGTGATGAATCACGCTTCACCATCTGAAGGACGGATCTGGGTTTGACGGATGCCAGGAGAACGCTACCTGCCCCAATGCATAGTGCCAACTGTAAAGTTTGGTGGAGGAGGAACAATGGTCTGGGGCTGTTTTTCATAGTTCGGGCTATGCCCATTAGTTCCAGTGAAGGGAAATCTTAACGCTACAGCATACAATGACATTCTAGACGATTCTGTGCTTCCAACTTTGTGGCAACAGTTTGGGGAAGGCCCTTTCCTGTTTCAGCATGACAATGCCTTCATGCACAAAGCGAGGTCCATACAGAAATGGTTGAGATCGGTGTGGAAGAACATGAGTAGCCTGCACAGAGCCCTGACCTCTACCCCATCGAACACCTTTGGGATGAATTGGAACGCCGACTGCGAGCCAGGCATAATCGCCCAACATCAGTGCCTGACCTCCCTAATGCTTGTGTGGCTGAATGGAAGCAAGTCCCCGCAGCAATGTTCCAACATCTAGCGGAAAGCTTTCCCAGAAGAGTAGAGTCTGTTATAGCAGCAAAGGGGGGGACCAACTCCATATTAATGCCCATGATTTTGGAATGAGATGTTCAACGAGCAGGTGTCCACATACTTTTGATCATGTAGTGTAGCAGGAGTAAAAAGGGAAAACAACTCTGAAGACAAGTGTGCAGACAGACAGATGGTGTGGCACTGTTCATTTGGCTGACCTGCTGTAGCCCTTTGGTTTGCTGAATGCCTTTGTGATGGCTGATTGGCCAGAGTGTCTTCGCTGAAGCGTTGTCCTCATTTTCTGTGAGAAAAACATACATTTTCCAATCTGGGATGAAATAAACAGATAATTCATTCATGGAGCCAAAAGTGGCTTGGTAAAGGGGTAGTTCACCCAAGTTAACAACAACAGATGATTCCCTATGGAACAGGAGAGACTGTTTAGATTTACATTTTTGTAATCTTATCCAGAGCGACTTACTAATTGTTATTCATTATTGTTATGATTTCATTACACATGACCAACCTTCACAGTCATTGGGTTGTGTTTCATAATGACTTGGTTTGCAATGACCTTCATCAAATTTGACCAAGGAGAGACTTGATTTGACCATGTACTGTAATTTAGAACAACAGTTTGCAGTCAGTGCAGAGAAGTAAAGAAAAATTATCTGCAGATTACATTCTCTCTTGGCTATAATTGAGAAAATCTACAAACCAGCAGGCACAATTTGGCATGAGACATCATACTGATGTAATTTGTAGTGCAGTCAGGCAGTCACGGTAAGCCTGATGTCTTTTCAACCAATTTTGCCCACTGGGTAGAACTCTTGTAAAATTGTTAGTACCAGGAATTGATATCTGTAGGCCTACTCTGTACATGGTTAGTCATTGATTTTTCTCATCATCTATGTAGGCTACTGCATCTCATAAAATACAATACAATATCATTGTAGCACTGCATAAATAAATAAATAACAAGTTTTGTCCATAACTGATGGAAAGCAGAATGTGGGATAGTTGCATCTGTTTCCTGCCTCTGCTAGGCAGCTGTGGAGTGAAGGAAGCCCTCTCCATCCCGTCAGTATTATTAGCCCATGGGGATAGAGCTACACAATGCTGCAGGGAGGTTCAAATAGAAACTAAACTCCTCAACATTGAATCTGTGTGGTCCAAGAGAGATATTATGTTATGTGCTGTGCAAGTATTTTCTATGGTATAGCTATCTATCATTTACGTTTGATTTATTCATTTTCTCTTTATTTTCTTAAATTAAAGCAGCAGTCCAATCTTTCCTCTGTCCATCTGCATTTTAAACCTTTCCTACCCAGCACGGCATGAAGTATATGTCTACGATAATTGTTATATAGAAGAATTCATTGGGTAACGTTTGTGTAGGGATTTCATAGTGTCTTCGCCAACCTTTTATATATATATACAGTGCATTCGGAAAGTATTCAGACCACTTTACTTTTTCCACATTTTGTTACATTACAACCTTATCTAGCAGGTTTTCATCAAGGATCTCTCTGTACTTTGCTCCGTTCATCTTTCCCTCGATCCTGACTAGTCTCCCAGTCCCTGCCGCTGAAAAGTATCCCCAAAGCATGATGCTGCCACCACCATGCTTCACCGTAGGGATGGTGCCAGGTTTCCGCCAGTCTTGACGCTTGGCATTCAGGCCAAAGAGTTCAATCTTGGTTTCATCAGACCAGAGAATCTTGTTTCTCATGGTCTGAGAGTCTTTAGGTGCCTTTTGGCAAACTCCAAGCGGGCTGTCATGTGCCTTTTACTGAAGAGTGGCTTCCGTCTGGCCACTCTACCATAAAGGCCTGATTGGTGGAGTGCTGCAGAGATGGTTGTCCTTCTGGAAGATTCTCCCATCTCCTCAGAGGAACTCTGGAGCTCTGTCAGAGTGACCATCGGGTTCTTGGTCACCTCCATGACCATGGCCCTTCTCCTCTGATTGCTCAGTTTGGCCGGGCGGCCAGCTCTAGGAAGGGTCTTGGTGGTTCGAAACTTTTTCCATTTAAGAATGGAGGCCGCTGTGTTCTTGGGAACCTTCAATGCTGCAGACATTTTTGTGTACCCTTCCCCAGATCTGTGCCTCAACACAATCGTATCACAGAGCTCTACAGACAATCCCTTCGACTTCATAGCTTGACGTTTTTACTCTGACATGCACTGTCAACTGTGGGACCTTATAAAGACAGGTGTGTGCCTTTCCAAATCAACATCTCAAGGATGATCAATGGAAACAGGATGCACCTGACCTCAATTTCGAGTCTCATAGCAAAGGGTCTGAATACTTATGTAAATAAGGTATTTCTGTTTTTATATTTAATACATTTGAAAAAAATCTAAAAACCTGTTTTCACTTTGTCATTATGTGGTATTGTGTGTAGATCCATGAGGATTTTTTATTTATTTAATCCATTTTAGAATAAAGCTGTAACATAACAAAATGTGGGAAAAGGGAAGGGGTCTGAATATTTGCCTGAATGCAGTGTATATATACAGTATTGTGTAGGATGGTGTATACAATCTCAACCTTGGATTTTGAAGCCCAGTGATGAAAAGAGACCACACACAAGTCCATTAACACGTTATGTAAGTGAGGAAGTAAGTGAGGATAATACATTGAGACTGCCATTGTTGACATGGTGCCTTCATAAAGTATTCACACCCCTTTGACTTATTCCACATTTTGTTGTGTTACAGCCTGAATTCAACATTGATTTAATTAATATTTTTTGTCACCCATCTACACACAATACTCCATAACGACAAAGGGATTTTCTTGTTGTTGAAATTTTAGCAAATGTATTGAAAATGAAATACAGAAATATCTAATTTACATAAGTATTCACACCACTGAGTCAATACATGTTAGAATCACCGTTGGCAGTGATTACAGCTGTGAGTATTTCTGGGTAAGTCTCTAAGAGCTTTGCACACCTGGATTGTACAATATTTGCCCATTATTATTTTTAAAATTCTTCAAGCTCTGTCAAGTTGGTTGTTGATCTTTGCAAGACAGCCATTTTCAAGTCTTGCCATGTTCAAGCCGATTTAAGTCAAAACTGTAACTAGGCCACTCAGGAACATACAATGTCATCTTGGTAAGCAACTCCAGTGTATATTTGGCCTTGTGTTTAAGGTTATTGTCCTGCTGAAAGGTGAATTTGTCTCCCCTTGTCTGTTGGAAAGCAGACTGAATCAGGTTTTCTTCTAGGATTTTGCCTGTTCTTAGCTCTATTCAGTTTATTTTTATCCTAAAAAACACTCCCTAGTCCTTGCCGATGACAAGCATACCCATAACATGATGTAGCCACCACCTTGCTTGAAAATACAGTTGAAGTCGGAAGTTTACATACACCTTAGCCAAATACATTTAAACTCTTGTTTCCTGACATTAAATCCTAGTAAAAATTCCCTTTCTTAGGTCAGTTATGATCACCACTTTATTTTAAGAATGTGAAATGTCAGAATAATAGTAGAGAGAATGATTTATTTCAGCTTTTATTTCTTTCATCACATTCCCAGTGGGTCAGAAGTTTACACACACTCAATTAGTATTTGGTAGCATTGCCTTTAAATTGTTTAAATTGGGTTAAACGTTTTGGGTAGCCTTCCGCAAGCTTCCCACAATAAGTTGGGTGAATTTTGGCCCATTCCTCCTGACAGAGCTGGTGTAACTGAGTCAGGTTTGTAGGCCTCCTTGCTCGCAAATGCTTTTTCAGTTCTGCCCACAAATGTTCTATAGGATTGAGGTCAGGGCTTTGTGATGGCCACTCCAATACCCTGACTTTGTTGTCCTTAAGCCATTTTGCCACAACTTTGGAAGTATGCTTGGGGTCATTGTCTATGCAACTTATTATGTGACTTGTTAAGCTAATTTCTACTCCTGAACTTATTTAGGCTTGCCGTAACAAAGGGCTTGAATACTTATTGACTCAAGACATTTTAGCTTTAAATTTTAAATTCAGTTGTAAACATTTCTAATAACATAATTCCACTTAAGCATTTTGGGGTATTGTGTGTAGGCCAGTGACACAAAATCTCAATTTAATCCATTTTAAATTCAGGCTGTAATACAACAAAATGTGGAAAAAGTAAAGTGGTGTGAATATTTTCTGAAGGCACTGTAAATCTATGTTGTAGGATATGTTATATAAAATCCTGATACAGCTTTCAGCTTGATTTACCGAAATTAATACAAAACATTCATCTACATTCTAAACATTAATCTACTCTTTGACAAATAACCTTAACAATTTAGCTGCATCCTAACACATGCACACACACACACACACACACACACACACACACACACACACACACACACACACACACACACACACACACACACACACACACACACACAATGATTTGAGATTGCACAGTACCTACTGTAGAAAAAGAAAGAAAATGAAGTATGAAGAACTTACCTTCTCCTTCTCTTGAATCCTTGACTCATTGCAGTTTACTTTGGAGTGGGAGCCAATGCTTTGTTGAGGGGTCATCTTTTTAAGCCCAGCAGGTCACAAACGCAGTCACATACTGTAATGTCCCGGTGCAATTCGATGCTGCCGTTCACTACAGAGTAAAGTTTTACAAGTTTTTATAGTCTTGCAGAGAAGCAATCATAGTCACACTTTGTTTGACAAAATAATTTGTTTGTGCTGAAAGCCCTCTACAGTGGTACTGGGAGAGGCACCCTTTTCCAAAACCCACTGCTTTCTGAGCTGGGCCTCCCTCTTTCCTCCTCACTGACTAAATAAGGATATCCCAGTCCAGTCTCCTCACACAGTCGCCAGTGTGCAGCACACTGAGGATGGGGCAGACAGTTGGTCAGGAGGACCTTCTCAGGTTACATTTCATTACCCAGCCTTCACCCAGGGGGCACTAAGGAGGGAGTTGTGGGGAGTTGAGGCTGCACAGTGCTCTCAACCTCTTCCTGTGGTACGACTGAGGTTGGTGAGAATTCAAGTTCCTAATGCAATTGGTACAGCTCAATGTGTTACACTAGTACAGTCCATTAAGATTGTTTGGCACCTAAACAACTTGTGATTGTACTGAAGTTAGGCCTACCTTTGACCTTCATCAATGCATCCATTGAAATACAGAAAAGATACTATAGCTTAGCATCCCTTACAGAAAAACCACATGATTTCATATAAATTTCAAATGTGAAAACGTGTTTTTGGAACACTTCACATGCGGTCACATGAAATTCCAGTGGTTTTTCCATAAAGGATCAAATCATTTATTCCCAATTTAAGTTTTACACCAAAG